GGGAAAGCCCCTACTTACAAACCTCAAATGGACCGGGTGTAGGGGAGGGGGGACAGATGGGGGTGTGGGTGGGGTGTAAAAGAGTTGCACTCCTGGTAATCAGTGTGGGGTGCCAGGGGGTACCATGGGTGTGATGGGGATAAGGGGAGGGGGGCACTGGAGTGTATGTGGGGATGCTGGGAGCTTTTGGGGTGCTAGTGAGTGCCCCCTCCATGAGAAGGCAGTGAGCAGGCAGAGCTGTAGCAGGGAGGGCAGGACCTGTGCCCTGGCAGTGACCTGCATCCCTCAAGTTTCCATCCTGCCTGAAAGACAGTGGGGCAACAGTGGTGGAACCCACTGCCCTGTGCTGGCAGTGATGCTGGTGGGATGCCTGGTGCCCGTGGGTGGCTGTGGAGAGGCCAGGGCAGCTGCACACTCATCAGCTGGGAAGCACAACACTGTTCCCATGCCCATGTAAGGCCCTTCTTGTGCCCTGTGCCTCTGCTCAGGGATTTTTCCTTGCTTAGCAAACCTCCCTCCCTCTCTCGGAGAGGGACGGTTGGATGGATGGACACTGGTATGTATGTGACACACACAGCCTGCCCCTCCCTCCCTCCCTGCACCAAAACTGCCTGCCCAAAGCTGTGGGGGAGTATCTTCCCTTGAAAAGCGGGGAAACTGAGTCACCCAGCCCTGTGTGGGGGCAGCAGGAGGCAGGGAACGTGGTGTGGGGTGCAGTACTTCTGTGCCTGCGTTCAGGCATGGGTGAGCCTGTGTTGTGGGTGGCATGTGCTGGCAGTGGCACAGCCAGGATCAGTGGTGACACTGCTCTCTGACCGAGGACGCTCTGAGCAGTGGGGCCCAGCAGGCATGTCCCAAATCAATGGATATCCTAGGAATGTCTCCGTCCCCTGGGATGCCTTCACTCTGAATGTGGCCAGATTTTGCTATGATGCTGATTGGAGAGGCTGGGAAAAGATGGGGGACTGTGCTGCTTCCCGTAGAGGGAGCTGGCCCCATGACGGATGGTTTGGCTGGGGGACAGGGAGCGCTGTGGCGTTTGGCTGCTGGATCGGCTAGAGATTGCTGGTGCTTGGTTCTGGGAAATGGCGCCTGTGCCAGCCCCTGGGCCTGGCAAGGCTCCAGCCTGCCCTGCTCGCCCCTGCCACACAGGGGCCCAGCAGTGCTGGGGGAGTGGGGGTGCGGGACTGTGCCAAGAGGGGAAACTGAGGCACATCACATAGTACGGGGCCAAGGGGTCTAGGGGTTGTCCCCCCTGTGTCTCTTCCTAGGGAGCTGAAAGTGTGCATTGGAGCCATGCCACACACATGTGTGTGTGTGCCTGCGTATGTGAGCATGTGTGTGTGTGACTGTGTGTGCTCACAGATGCATGCATGAGGGCATGAGCTGCAGGAGATGCACGTGTGTGCAAGAACATCCATCTGTGTGCGGGAGCACGCTCACACACAGGCAGGTGGTCACATGCATGTGCTCCCAGTTCACTGCCATCCATCCCCGCTGGCCTCGTGCCAGGCCTGGGTTGTTTTTCAAGTGCCCCCTGTGATGGGGCTCCGGGGGGGCAGGTTTGTCCATCATTAAACCGGGGGCTGGAGCAGGGCCAGGGCCGGGCAGCGAGGCATGTCCCGGCCAGAGCAATCGCTCCCAGTGCCCGCGGCGGTGACGGGCCCTTGGATGGCTGCAGGACCCATGGCAGAGGGTGGTGGTGGGGGTGAGGGGATGTGCCACCTCTCAGCTGGTGCTGGGAATACCCCCTGCTTGTTAAGCTAGTCAGAACTGGGAAGGGAAACTGAGGCAAGGCGTGGTTGGACGCTTCCAGGAAGGCTTGAGCCCTGGTGATTGCCACCTTCCAGCCGTGCCATGGCCAGGGCCCAGGGAGTGTTGGGGGGTATGGCCAGGTCATGTATTGCAGGTTTCTGGGGGCTGCAAGGAGGGGAGATCCATGTCCCAGCTGTGGAAGACTCTTGTAAAGGGATTTGTGGCTGTGCGGTCCCTGCTCCCTGCCCCAGCCACTCTGCTTCCTCCCCGTGCTGTCGGAGGGGATGACGTACTGGTCACAGGGGAACTGCCCGTCAGGTCCCTGTCCCTGATGGCCCCCTTCAAAGCCACCCCCCCAGTGCTTTGGCACAGGTAATTAGCAACACCCCTGGTCTCCACAACAGAGGGGGCGGGGCGGGGGAGGGAAGGAATGGAGCAGGAATATGTCCTTGACCCTGGTGTGGGCCCAGCTGGGGTGGAGGGATGGGGAACTGTGGGGCTCAGCCCTGCCCCGGTGCTGTGCCAGGTCCTATTTGTGCAGCAGGTCCTGGAGGGGGTTTGGTTTTGTTTTTTTCCCTTCCCTCTTTCCTTTTTCCCCTTCTTTACGTCACTGCCCAAATATTCGGCCTCTCAGCTCCGGTGGGGGGCCGGCTCGGCTGCTGGGAGGACTTGGGGCCCTTCCCTGCACCCTCGGGGTGCTGCACAGAGAGGATGGGCAGGGGAGAGGGCATGCTGAGACTGCTCATGCTCACTGCACTGGTGAGCACTGGCCAGGACTGGCCTGGGAGGTGTCAGATGAGGCAGTGGGTACCGCCAGCCTCCCTCCTTGGCAGCTCCTAGGGCTGCACCCATCTTCCCAGAGCCTGTCATGGTGGGAAGCAGGGTCCAGGCCTGCCTTATTTCCCACTGGTTGTCTCCCTTGCCAGACCAGTTTGCATCCCCCATGGTCACTCCTCCTGATACCTGCCCTGGGAAGGGTGCTGGGTCCCTGGGAACTCCCAGGACCCTCCAAGAGGTGTCAGTGATCCCAAAACAGCTGAAAAGTCTGGCTCAAGAGGGGTTCTACAGACCCTGCACTGGGGCTTACCTCCTGTGTTCTGTAATCTCTGGAGATGAACCACACCTGGGTGCCTGGTCCCCGGGTCTCCTTTCTTCCACTGACATGTGGGGTAATGATGCTCAAGGGTGTTTGTTTTGGGTCACAGAGGGGCTGTTTCATGTGAGGGGTGGTTTGTCTGGGGGGCTGGGAGTCACTGGAGCCACTTTGCAGACTGCTGGACTTGCTCCCACTGGCACTTTGACCCTATGGCTCTGGGAGATACTTTGGCAGCTGTAGTTCAAGGATGTTGTCAGGACTTCTCTGGCTGTGTCCTGTGAAAGGGACACGTCATGTCCCCAGGGGAGAGTTCCTGTCACTGCCCCGGGGACCAGGACAGGGACGAGGAGCTATCAGTGCCCTTTGCTCACCCACTCATTTCCATCCCATTCAGTTGCTGGTACTTTCCCATCTGGCCCCAGCTCTTCCTCTGCTGATGTTTCCCAGGGCCTGGGAGCCATCCTGTGGCCTCCTCCTGAGGAGTTTGGGCTCTGGGGCCTGTGCAGGGGTCTGTGCTGGAGCTGGGCTGGGGTCCGTGCTGTGCACTGCTGGTGCAGGATGTTCTTTGCCCCTCCATCCATGTTGCAGCACTCCCATCTTTTTGGGATGCCTGGTTTTTGTGGGCTGTGGGGATGGTGGGACTTGTTTAGGGGTGTCAGTGGATCCTGGCCATGGGGTTTTGTCCCTAGAATGGTGGCTGTTGGGATCTGACCCTGTGCTGTTGGGTGCTGGGGAGGGCAGAAGGGCTGGCTGGTGCTTGCTTGGGAGGGGGATGAGGAGATGCTCTCCAGAGATGTTTGGCTCTGGTGCTTTGTCTTTGGCAGCAGGAAGGGTCCCCACAGTGCCTTTTGGTGCTCCCATCCCATGGCACTGTTGGGTTGCTGTGGAAGCTGAGGCATGGGGGGACTGGGAAAGATCTCCTTGAATTGGAGTGTACTCGCAGGGGTGGTGTCCCTTAGGGGGACTTGGAGGTGGGCCATGGGAGAGCCCCTTAGCACAGACCCCTCCCTGGTGACTTTTGAAGGGGTGGTGAGGTAGGAGGGGTGTTGGGGTCCTGCACCGCTCCAGCAGAGCCAGTTCCAGCCTTTTGGCTGAGCCCACGGCTTCAGGACGGAAATGCAAACAGGAACGGGGAGGCGTTGGGTGAGAAAATGTCAACAGCCCTGGGCCGGGTGCCTGGCTCACCGCCTCCCTGGCCAGCTCGCCACTCTCTGGGCTGCTGCTGGTGGGCTTCCCCTCTTTGCTGGGGGGGTCTCCTGGCACTGAGCACTTGCTTGTTCAGCAGGGCTGGGGCTGGGTTGCCCCAGGGGCAGCAAGGGAGACCGGGGCTCCATCCATCAACATGCAGCCCCCCGAGGAGGAGAAGGAAGGAGGAGGAGGGGAGACAGGAGGAAGGCCAGGGGATGCTGGGCACACTCCAGGTTTGGGACAGGCAAGCTGGGACTGGCATGACCTTAGGTGCTAAGGGACAGACGGGGCTTTTCCAGCATTTTGGCTTTGATTTTTAGTTGAGAGGCGGGCTGATAGATCTTCACATCCTCTCCAACGCTGGGGGTGTGGGACACCCGAGGACCATTAGATGGGCACTTGGTCCCGCATATGGCAGGGGGGCACCAGGTTGTGCCAGGGGGTGCCAGGCAGGCCCCAAGCAGGGCCCCACACACCGGTCCCTGCCACCCCCCCGCCAAGGGCACCGGGACGCCGGTGGCGTCACGCGGGGCGATAAGGCCCCGACCCCGCTGCACCCCGCCGCCCGCCGCGGCCCCTCGGCACCGGCTGCCAGGGGCTTTGGAGGCGGAGGTGGCCGAGGTGTGGGGGGGATAATTTTTTTTTTTTGGGGTGGGGGGGGGGGTCTGCCCACCTGCCGGCACCCTTACCCCAGGGCCAGCTGCTCGAGTCAGGCTCCCGGTTGCCTTTAAGGGCGTTTTTGGGGGAGGCGAGGGGAGCGGAGCGGGGCCGGACTTGGAGCGCGCCGTGCAGCTGGGGAGAGGGAAGAGGAGAAGAAAGAGGGAGAAGAAGCGAGAGAAGGGAGAGGAGCGGTGGAAAAAGTCGACCGAGACCCCATTCCTCCCCAGGGCCGGGGCCGGCGCCCCGGGCTCCCCAGCCCCCGGCCGCCCCGGGGGTGCGGAGGGGAGCGGGGAGCCGGCGGGACCTCCCCGCGCCCCTCCATCGCCGGGGTCCCGCTTCTGGGGAGCGAAACCCTTCGGCTCTCCCCCTCCTTCCCTCCCCTCCCTCCTCCCTCCCTCCTTCCTTCCTTCCTTCTCCAGGCTTGGCCCGGGGAGGGAGGGGGGCTCTGCCTGCAGTCTGCCTTCACTCCTGCCCGCCCGGGCGACGCCGGGCTCCCGCCTGCCCCCCGCGGCCCCTCCGGCCGCCCCCCGCGCCCCCCGGGCCAGGTGAGGCTGCGGTGCCGTCCCTCTCGGATGTAGGCAGGCGAGACCCCGGATGGATTTCGGGAGCGTCATGAACCAGGTACGGGCGGGAGGTGAGGGCGCAGGGTCCCCAGGCCCCCCGGGAGGGAGGGTGCTGGCGGGGGTGTCGTCTCTCCAGGGGGCGGGGGCCATGCGTGATATCCGAGCGGTGATGGGGTGGTGCGTGGAGGGGGCTGCTGCCCCCCGGTGTTGGGGGCGTCTGTCGCAGCTGTCTGTCACCAGAAGGGGTCTCGGGGTGCGGGGGGGGGCTTGAAGAGGGCGATGCGGTGCTCGCAGGGAGGAGGACTTGGGCAGGGGGCGAGGGCCGGTTTGCTGCCGGCAGGGACCTGTGAGCGGCTCCGGGGGCCGCGTCCCCCGTGCCCCCCTCCCCGCCTCGCCAGAGCCAGGGACTCTCAGGGTGCTCCGGAGGGGGACACACAGGCGCTGGGCTTTGCGTCCCCCCCTCGCCTCCCCGAAGTGCGTAGGGACACGTCCCCGAGGAGCGAGGAGTGCGCGGGAAAGCGGGGTCCGCCCCCGGCACCCCGCTCCCGCCCCGCAGCCGGGAGGGCGATGCCGAGCTCCTGTCACCCCGCGGGGAGGACACTCTGGGGGGCTGCCCCGCGGCCGGGACACCCTGGCAGCCCACGGGTTAACCCCCCCGCCCCGGCGGGACCGTCAATGGTTAAACTCCGGGTTAATGAGTGGCGAGGCAGCCCCGGCGGGTGCCAGCCCCCCCGCCGCCCCCCCGGGCAGGGATCCCCGGCCCCTCGGCGCCGCCGGGCCCGCAGAGGGTTAACTCCGTCAGGGCAGGTCCCAGCGCAGATGTTTTTGGGCTGTGCTGCTGGGAGAGGAAACGACCGAGCGAGGGAGGCATCAGCCCGCTTGCGTTTAAGGGGAAAACAAGGAAAAAAAGAGAAGTGCTCCGTTCCCGGGAGCCTGAGCCCGCTCGGCGCTGGCGTCAGCCCTGGTGCGGTGGGTGGGTGACTCCAGTGTGTGTGCTGGGGGACAGCTGGCAGGGACACTGGGGTGACAGTGGCTGCACCCCCTGGGTGCTCATGGCTCTTGATTCTGGGCGTTCTGGGGGGCAACCAAGCAGGCACCTCTTGTCCCTATAGCGTGATTGCACTGGGAAGACAACGTGTGTCCTGTCTGGAGTCTGAAGTCACCCCCAGGGAAAGTGTATCGGTGGGAAACGAGCCTGCAGCTCTCTACTAAGCCTCTTCTTAGTGATCCTGCTGGCCCCGGGCAAAGTGCTGAGCTTTGGAGCTGTGCTCTCCCATGTGTCCTTTTGGGGTCTTGAGTTGCAGAAGGGTCCATTTGCTTATGCCCTGGGCAACCTTCCTTGCTTTGCCAGTGTCTAGTTCCTAGCCTTGTGAGAGCTCATCCCCGGGGTATCTGGTCACAGTGCCAGCAGACCCTGATCAGCATTGGAGCTTCCCCAATGGGTTTTGAGACACAAGAGAGAAAGCAGTCCCACAGCACAGTTCCTGGGTATGGAGTCTCCACTTCTCCCTCCTATTTCCTCATCTCCTCAAAACTGCTGATTGGGGGGACACCAGTTTTGGAGGTGCTGCTCAGCATTTCAGGTCCTCTGTAGTGTTTTCAGCTCTGTCCTGCTGAGGACACAGCTCTGACTCCAGTCTCCATTTGCCTTGGGCCTTTCCTATTCTCACAAGTAGGGCTCCGTACTGGGGGGCTAAGACCCCTAGGGGCAGCCAGGGCTTATTTTGGCACCTGAACCACCCCTCGAGGTGGGTCCCAGACTCATGGGCACTGGCAGATGCCCCTGATGCTGGGAGGCTGCCAAAAGTGTGCAGCGGGCTCTGAGTGCACAGAAAGGGGCTTGCCTGATGCTCACCAGAGTGGATCTGTGGGAAGGATCCCGCCCTGGGCTCAGGGTGGGGCACAGCCTGCTGCCAGGCTGGTGTGCTGACCAGTCCCACAGGAGTGCCCGTGCTCCATGTCAGAATCCATTTGTTGATCAGTTCCATGTGAGAATCCGAGCGCTGGCCAGTCCTGTGTGGGAATCACTGCTCTGACCAATCCTGCATGAGAGTCAGTGCTCTGACCAATCCCCTGTCAGAATCCAGGGCTTGACCAGTCCTATGGGACAGTCTGGTGAGTGATTAATCCCGTGTAAGAATCCATGTGCTGGCCAATCCTGTGTGAGAATCCATGCATTTACTGATCTCAGGTGAGAATCCATGCACAGACCAGCCCCAGATAAGAATCCAGTTGCTGCCCAATCTCATGTGAGAATCCATGCATTGACCAATCCAATGTAAGAACCTGTTCATGGACCAGTCCTGGTAAAATCCCTTGCAGCAGAGTCTGTCCCAGCCAGTCCTGGTGTGACTCTGTTCCCGACCTATCTCTGGTGCAGAAGCTGCTCCCTGACTAATCCTGGTGTCTAGTTTGACTCTGGGGAGTTGATGAGGGGCTGGGGGGGATCCTGGTCCTTTTTCTGGGGGAAGTCTGGTGCAGAGGGGTGCAGTCACCCCATGCTTCCTTAGGCTGGTTGTGGGTCCCCATGGGTCTGGGCTGAGGGCTGTCCCTGCAGTGGGGTGGCAGCACATGTGTGTGGTGCTGGGGGCAGAGCAGGGCAGGGCTGGTGCCGTGGGGCCAGAGCCAGGCAGGCGCGTGCTGGCCCGTGAGGCTGGATCCAGACCTGCTGCCTCCAGATGTTGCCTTTTTAGGCACTGGAGCACAGCATATCCCTGCCTGTGGCCGGCCCTGTGCCGAGCCAGCGCCTGCGAGCAAAGTAGGGACAGTCCCTGTCCTGGTCATGTGGAGGCATCTCTGTCCCCCTCCTGACCCCCAAAAACACCCTTCTCTCCCCAGACAGGGTCAGGGATGCTACCTCCTCTCCCTTCCCCTCATCTGCACTTGGCAGCATTGAGGCTCATTGCTGAAACCGCCCCGGAGCCGGGACCTGCCCTTATTTGGGTTGAAACCAGGGCTATTTTGGTGCAGCTGCAACCCCTTGAAGCTTCTCTGTACGTTGTTTTTCCTGTCCTGTCCCATACCCCTGTGCCAGGGCTGCTGGCCAGGCCAGCCATGGGCTGCTGTGGGCTGTTACTGTCCCAGTGCGCTGTGTGTCCCAGGGTGTCATGGGGTGCCAGGGGTGGCCCCCGTGGCACTGTGGGGTGGAATGGCTGGTGTCCCCTGTGGCATTTCATCCCTGATTTGCAGGGCCGTGTGTACTGGGTAACCTCTGTCCTGGTCCTGCTGCCGCCTTCCTGGCGGGGATGGGCCACAGGGCGGCTCCTCATCAACATACCAGGGGAGAAACAGGAGACAGCGTTTGTCCCAGTTCAGGGGACATCCCTGAGTGAGTGGCTCTTTGCCTGGTGCACCTTTTGGAGAATGGTCTCTGCTCTGGCATGGGTGCTGTCCAGGCATCCAGGCATGGAGAGGATGGCACAGTGACAGTCCCTGACCCAGCTGCAGGGTGGGCTGGGGATGCTTGGGGGGAAGCCTGGGAGCGGTGGGACCTCTGTGCCCCAGCATCAGCCCAGTCTGACTCACCCTGAGCCGCCGGCCAAGCCGCTCCCTGCCCTTCGGCGCATCTGCCAGTTACCCCCACCCGATGGAAGAAGTCCCAAAAGCAGCACCCCTGGATACTGGTGGGGGCAGAGAGGGGCTATGGGGTGCATGGGGTGCTGCCTCCTCCCAGGGATCCCTGTGCCAGGGGTCTGGGGTTCTGTGTGGCTGCCCTGTGCCTCACACACCGGGGCTGTGCTGGGCAGGGTGGAGCTGGAGAGGGGGGGAGCGGTTGTGCATGGAAACATGCCGTCCTCCTGCCGGGGACATGTTGCATAAACAGGAGTTTTGCCAGAGCTGCAAAAAATGTGAGGGCAGGAGCAGCCAGCACGTGGTGTGGGCAGAGGGTACCTGACCCCTGTGCAGGGCAGGAGTGTGACCAGAGCACAGACACCACAGTCCCTTATGCCTGGCAGGGGAGAAGGATGCTGCAGTTGGAATGGGGAGCAGGGGTGCTGGAGAGGGAAAAACCTTCCCCAATATCCCCAATTTAGTGGTGCCAACCTGTCCCCTAAAAGTATCTTCTGCTGTGAGGTGCCTGATGGCAGCTCACACTGCCCGACATTGTGGCTAAGAGAGAGCTCGGCAGGGCTTGGTGGCTGTGGCTGGGCTGGAGGGACTGGTAAACAGGGGAAAGGCTCTGGGAATGGCTGGGGAAGTTGCTGTGGCCTGTGGCTGTCCCTGGGATCCCCTGTACTTGAGGCAGGGTCTCGAGGTGAGCAGAGAATCGTGGGGTGCATGCGGAAGTGATTCACAGCCCAGCTGGGATTTAAGTGGCACAAAGCTGAGATGAACTTGCTTGAGAGGAAGTGGTCCCTCATGGGGTGATGTGGGACCCCATGAGGTGGGATCACATGGGCTGAGCAGGCATTTATGCTGCCCAGGCACTGTCCTGTGGGACACCAATGTGGCCACTGAGTCACATTCCTTTTTGACAACTGCATTTCCAGACCACAGGGTGGCTTGGGCAGGGGAACCACTTACAGGGCTGGAGGGAGTAGGGTGCCTTGATGCCCTCTCTTGGGGTCCACATTCTTTCTAAGTAGTGGGGCCATGAATCTGGCTTGCTTTGGGAGGGTCTGGCACGTCAGTGTCCCTTTTGACAGCATGTCTCCAGCTCCAACCACACCAGCTGGGCTGGCTTGCCAGCATCTCAGTGCCTAGCCATGGGAAGCATCTCTGGTGTGTGGGGGTCTATGTGAGGGCCAGGGTGGCTGGTGCTGAGTCTGCTCCTGGCATAGCAAGGGTCAGCACCAGCCCGGATATCGTCCGGCTCCGGAATGTTTATCGGAGCTCCTGGGGAAGGGAAAAACAAAAACCGCCACCCAAAGGAAGGGATATGCGTCAGAGATGGGCCTGGATCACCCACCGGCAGCCGGCCGGGCCATGCTGTGGGCTGTGGGCCAGTGCTCACCCGGCTCCAGCAGCCCGGCTGGGGAGACCCCGGTGCCACACTGATCCAGCCCGTTCCTGAATCGCAGCGCCCCTCCATGGAGGTTTGTTTTCCCCCAGCCCTGCTGGCATCTTGCAGGTTGGGGCTACAACCCACGGTGATGCTCTGCTGGAGCAGGACCTGGCAGTGGCCCTGGGCACTTCCATGGGTGCAAGAGTTGTTATACCGAGGGAGGAGAGGGAGAGGAAGGAGGTGCTGAGGGAGGGAGGTGTGAGCAGTGGTTGCAGCATGGAGAAGGCTCTGAGGTGTCTCATCCCTGGATAGGAGGTGGATGTCTGCATTCCTCCAGCCTCGCTCAGTTCTTGTGAAATGGTGCTGAAGTCCTGTCGGGATCTGTGGTGCAGAGGTCAGTCCCTGAGCTGCAGCTGGAGGGGTTAGGTGGAAGAGGGATCTCATGAGCTACTCTGCACTATGGCGGTGTGGCCAGGGACTGTCAGGGGTTTGCCAGCCAGGTGTTTATTTCTGGGCTTGGACATGTCAAGGGGATAGAGTTTCTCTAGGTATAGTGACAGCTGGTGATGAGCGAGGGAGCCCATCATCACTTTCCAGCGGAAGGCTGCAGGGTGTGCCCAACCCTTTATGAGACATCAGAGACTCCTATCACTCCTGGCCACGGGGCCTCATTTACTGGGAAAGTGATTTTTCTGCTTGGCAAAACTCGGGTCTCAAGGCAGCAGCTCGTGGGATGTGGCTGCTGGGAGGGATGGGGCAGCGACCTGGGGGGCCGGGTGGGCGGGTGGGGGGCCGTGGGGGGCTGGTGGGGTGGGCGGCAGCCCTGCTGCGCCTCGTTCCTCGCATTCCTGGGCAGGGCTGCCGGGCGGCGGGGTCGGCGGCGGGGGCCAGCCGGCAGGAATGCAAACACCGGTGAGGGGGAGAAGAAAGGCCGCTGTGTCTGCCACGGCAAAGCGGAGCCTGGACCAGGGGTGTGCGGGTCCCCCTGCCTTTCCCACCCCTCCCTGCACCGAGGGATGCAGGAATCGCTGAGGACAGAGATGGTGGCTGTTCTGGGGGTCGCTGCAGTAGTGTATGGAGTGATCCTCTCACCGGTCCGTGGGGCAGGAGGGGGTGCTCATACACCTATAGGTCGGGAACTGGACTTCCCTAGGGAGGGGTCCATTGTCTGGGACAGAGTATTCCTTCTTCTTCTTGAACTGGGGGCATGTTTGAGCCAAACTTGAGAGAGGGAAACAGCTTTACATTCCTGCAGTCCTTGTAAAACTGCCTTTCTGGGATGCGAGAGTGCCATACAGCCTGAGCTGCTGTCTCCCGTGGATGGGAAGAGTGGTGTCGGGTGAGCACAAGCCCATATTACACATCAGAGAATCCTTAAGGGCAGGGAAATACAACCATAGGCACCCCAGTTTTTCCCTTTTCCAGCCAGAGGTGCATTTGTAGCCCGCAAACTTCCACGTGCCGACAGTAGAGGAGGACTGGGCATGGACCCTACCTGGACCAGTGTGTCCCATTGTGGGGGAGCTGTGCATTTCCCCCCTTCGCCGGCCCTGCAGCTGGGGCTGGGCACGGGTCAGGGGCGCTTGTTGAGCATCCCCGGGGGAAGAGCACGGCGGCAGCGTGCGGGGCACGGTACTGCACAGCCCTCGCCGGCCCGGTCCGCAGCAGCGGCTCGCTGCCGCTGCCGGAGAACATTCCAGGGAGGCTGGCGCGGGGCCAGCGCCGCGGGGCAGGGAAAAGGGCCTTTTATGGAAGCGTTTCTGCATTAGAATAAAATCATAATAATAATGCGCAGGGGAAGGGAGCGGGAGGAGGAGGAACCCCTGAAGAAAACAGTGAGATGGGATGGGAACAGGCTGGCAGCTGGGGAGGGGAGCAGGTGCTGGGCATCGTGCTCTGGAGACCAGGATGGGATGGGATAGGGGTGCTCCAAGTAGGGTACTTGGGGCAAATACTTCTGTTTATGGCCCGGGGCAGGAGAGGTGGAGTGGGGTGCAGTGGGTCCCCATGCTGCCATGGTAGGGGATCAGCCCCTGAGTGGTGTTTGCCATCTTGGCTCCATCCTGGGATGGGGCAAGGGATGGCTTACTGCGGGTCACTGCTCCTGGTGGGATTTGTAGAGGACAAAATGCCCCAAATCACACCCTCCCACTACTGCTGGCACCTCTGGGCCAACACAGAGCTGGAGTGCCCGTGCCCGCTGCCCCAGCACCTACGAGGCGCTGCCTCTCCCACCCTGGCATGCTGCTGCTTGGGGTGCACACAAAACCCAAGGTTAATTGTCAGTAATTGCCGCTGGTAATTAAGGTAACAATAGCTGGGCTGTTCAGCTGGCGGCTGCAGGAGCTCACGAGGCTGGGCTGGGGTTTGTTCCAGGAGCTGCTCTTGGCACCAGGCGCCCGCCCTGCGCTGTGCCGTGCTGTGCTCGCCATGCCCACCCGGGCTGGGGCTGGGGCTGGGGCTGGGGCTGTCCTGGCTCCTTGGCCAAGGATGCATGGCACAGTTGCCATGGCCCTGAGCCCGCTCCCACTGCCTGCCTTGATTTTGGGATGATGTCTTTGCTCCTGCCTGGTGTGGGAAGGCCATGGATGCCCCTATCATTTCCTTGGTTGGGTGCTGTATTCCCTGTGGCATGGGTGGGGGGTGAATGCTACGTTCTAGCCTCTTCCCATGCCCTGTGTTGGACAAGGTGCTCAGGGACTAATCCTGGCTCTCTTCTGCTTCCTTGCAGGCTGTGACCCCCTGCTCCCCCACTGGCAACTATGAGCTGGTAAGTGACACCTCCACTGTGAGCCATGGGTGACAGCCAGGGCTCTGGGGATGCTGGAGCATCCTGCTCTGGGTATGGGGCTTTCTCTGTCCGAGGGCTTCAGGATGTGAATCTTCCACCCTCAAAACCACATGGGTCCTGTGCTGGGGGAAAGGGCATCCCCATTTTGGTGCTGTGCCCCCCACCATTGCTGGCCGAAGGGCATCCCACAATTGAGCAGCAAAAGTTGGAGCAGCCTAACTATCACAGGACTTCTGGAGCTGGAGCTTTCAGGGAAGAGGGGCCTGCAGGGTTACTGAGAGGGACAGGCAGAGAGGACGTGACCATCCAGGGCTCTGGGGTCCCCTGGCCTTCCCTCCCTGGCCAGAGCTGGGGCGGTTTCTTGCACACCCGGAGATGGCTGTACCAGATGTGCCTTTGGCTCGCGGCGCCCAAGGCCATGCATTTGAGCTCTTATTATTGTCACCCTCTACTATTGTCTGTCCTAGGGGCCTTTAGCAATCTGCTGGAGCCAGGGTGACACAGGCTGTTCCCACCCTGTCCTCTGTGGACTCGAGGAGAACAGCTGGATGCATCATCTCCGTTCACCCTGTCCTGGGGAGGGCAGGTGGGGGGTACTGGGCAGACAGCCACAGTCCTTTGCCACACTGCTCCAGGCCATGGCTGGGCTCTGGGGGCACCAGGGCACTTGGATGTCACCTGGAGCAGGGCCATGCCCAGCAAGGGGTTTGGGAAGCATGACATGAGGGTGCCTACCAGGCAGCATCTTGCCAGCAGAGCAGCTCCCCTGCCCCGTCCCCACCCTGGTGGTGCTGTGGCAGCAGGCAGAGCAGGCACGTGGCAGCAGGGAGACTGGCATAGCCTGGGGCTGGTGCAGCAGCCCTTCCTTTTTGCTCCAGACGTGTGCCAAGGCTTGCTGGGGCAGGCGCCGGGGAGAGGAGGCCCTGGCAGGGTTTCAGCTCAGGCTCAGCAGCCTGGCAGTGCCGCAATATCCGTGCCTCACATGAGGCCCTAGGCTGGGCAGGGGTCTCACCTGAAAAGTGAGTGTAGGGGATGACCACCTGCAGGCTCTGAGGGCAGTGTGAGAGCCCAAGTGAGCAGGGCATGGGGTAGGAGTGGAACATGCTGCCTGCTCTGGGGCCTCATGGTGGTTATCTGCCCTGGGTTTAATCTCTGCCTGCATCCCTCACCCCTGCCAACCTCCTTGGGCACTTATCGACAGCAAAAATATGTTGGCTTCGAGCTGGGACCGTTACTGTGGCTTTGGGAGGAAATTGAAAGGGTTTGCCCTGCCTCATGGATGGAAATGTCTGCTCTGGCCCTGCTGCCAAGAGTAGAGCAGCCTGGTTTTGGGGGTGACCTCCAACCTCCTGGTCCCAAGATTCCCATCTGGGGACTTGCTCAGCTGGGTCCTCTTGCTGTGCCACCCCCAGGCACCATTCCCAGACAGAGGTATCTGTCTCCTGATTCCTATATTTGGGGTCCAGACACTTTCCCCCACCCCAGGAAGTTAATTCCTGTCCCCAGCCTCCTTTCAGAGCTCTCTCCAGTGGCATGTCACCAAACTTCCCCCTGTTTTGAGCATCTCAGACCCTGGCTCTGCTCCCACTGGGGTCCTTCACTGGCCCTGTGGGATCAGGCTTATCTTGGGGAGCTGGTCCTGCTGGTGTGGTGGCCAGGTGCCAGGCTGGGTGTGGGACTGCACTGGGCTTGCCCTGTTATTTACTTCCCAGCTGTAGGGTCTGACCATGGAGAATCCATCTGGAATCCCAGAGATGTGGGGGGCACCAAGTGCCCATCATGGAACAAGCTCAGGGTTCAGCCAAATGCTTCAAATTGGCAACAGTGGTCAGTGCCAGTGGTGGTGGCTGAGAGGCAGGATGGCAACATCCTTGGTACTTGAGTATCCCAGCTCTGCACTTGGGTTTTGGGGGATTCCCAGCCTTTAGGAAGAGAAGACATGTTGGCAGGCAGGGAAAGGAACGGAGCCATGGTGCATTTCCTAGGAAGCACCAGAAATAGCAAGGGGGAACTTTTGACCCTGGCCCTGCTCTGTGTGTGTGTGTGTGTTTGTCTCTCAATCTCTTCTCTCTCGCTTGCCTTTTTCTCACCTTCTCCTTGCTCCTGTCTGCAGCCATCCCTGGGGGAGAGCATCACCAAGCAGGTAGAAGTCCTGGTAAGTGCAACCAGTCATGGAGGCTGATCACTGCCTCAAGACCTCTTGGGGGGTCACTCATACCAGTCCCATTGCTGCAAACACTCCCTGCAGCCAAAATCCCTCAGCCTGGAATGCTCCTATAGTTTCTCAGTGTACCTGGGACCCTGAAGTCCTCTCTCCCAGCCAGCCAAGGTGATGGTGGCCATGCCAAAGGCCAAGTGAGATGCCCGGGTTTGGTGGCAGAGGCGGTGGTGGAGCCCAGCATACTGGGGCTGAGGTTTTTGCTGCAAAGCTGACTTTCCTGTCGTGGAGCTAGGGATCTGTTTTTTAATGTGTGGACATGAAATTGCTAAGACAGTGTAGACAAATGTACTGCCAAAGTCAACGAGGACAGCTTCCCCCCGGCCTGCAGCCAGCTTGCGGACCTCCCTGTGTGTTGGGGCTGGGACCCAAGGGATGGAGGCAAGATGGTTCCCATGAGGAAGAGGATGAAAGCCTTCCTCACCTGAGATCTGGCTTTGCCTAATCCCTTTGGTTGTCCAGGACAAGTTTCCAGCCCTGAGAAAGAGCATCCTCAGAAAAATCCAGTTAGAAGCCTCCTTTGCTGGCTTTGCTGTCTTTGCTGTCTTTCAGGGAAGTTTTTTGATATTTCTGAAGCTTTTCTTGTGGCTTTCTTCACCCTTTCCAAGCAGAGGGGACCTGCAGGTTTTGGGTGCTGCCAGGAGCTTGGGGACATGCCAAGCTAGCTTGGGACTGGAAGGCACATTCTTGATGGGCTTGGCAGAGGGATCTTCAACCCAACAGGACTGGGACCAGCCTGTCCTGCGCTGGGCTGGACTGGGTTATACTGGTTTGGCTGGAGTCTCTCTCCACAGGGGACGTTTGCAAGGTCTGCCAGCCCAGTGGCAGGCAGGAGTGTTTAATAACAGGAGCACAGCTCCTATCAGCTGATTGCAGGCTGACTCTTCCTCGTGCAGGGGCTGGCGGCAGAGACGCAGCGCGGCTGCGGCTGGGGGTGGGGAGCATGGCAGAGCCTGGGGAGCAGGGCACAGCTCAGGGGCTCTCGCTGGGACAGGGGACCCTGCAGGGCCCTGGCTGTGGGCACCCGCTCTCCCGGGTCTGGAGGGTGCCAGGAGTGGACCTGCCATGGCGTGGAAATGGATTAGCAAGGGGCTCACTGCTATCCAGGTATGGGGAGGGACAGGGACTCTGGTGTCCCCACCTTGCTTGCCCCCTGTGCCTCAGTTTACCCATGTGGGAGCTGGGGGTGATTCCTGGTTTCCCCATGTCAGCTCTCTGTTGGTAAAGGCTATGGTTTTGGGAAGCTGCTACAGCTGGATGAGGTGACGTGGACTGAGGGGCTCCCCTGGCTGGTGGGTGTGGGACCCCAGAGATCTCCGTTATGGACGTTTGAGGCACTGCCAAGCCATGGGGGGGATCCCATCCTGATCACTGATGGGTGATTCAGGGATGAGCCCATATTCAGGTTCAGGCTTGTTCCATGCACCTTGGCTCTCCCAGGAAAGGTTTTACCTCTCTTTTTGTTGCATTTTAACTCCTTATTTGCCCTCAGCAATGCTGGGGATTTCCTGGGGTGAGCAGGCAATTTGGGACACCCTGAGGAAATACTGGAGAGGGAATTGTCACTACTGTTCAAGCGCCTCTGGGCAATGAGGCAAAGCTGCTGCTTTCTGGAACTGCTTTGGCTGGGAGGGGTGACATTGTCCCCAGGCCCCAAGGGTGCTGAGCCTGGCTCTGCTCTGCAGGACAACCTGACCTTGAGAGGGGCATACAAGTCTGGTGGAGGGTGACGCTGGCTGTCCATGGGAGCAGCTCTGGGACTGTGCTGGGTGGGCAGAAGGTGGCAGGTGAAGGATGTCAGGGAAACTGCTCTCCCACCTCGTCCTGTGCCCTTTGGTGTGCTGGTTGTGGGATGCTGCAGCCCTGAGGAGAGTAGCAGCAGTCTTGCAGCTCTGGGGACTAATGGAGCATCCCAGGAATCAGCTGAAGGATGTATCTCTTATTCCTGATCCTTCCAGGCGTGTTGCCTGCTTGAGATGAGTCTTTAAATGACTTCTGCTTATTAGCTGGAGATACTAAAACTAATGAGGTGCGAGTGTGTTTTTCCTCAGCAGCTTTTTTTGGAAACCCTGCTTTGTTTTTTGGCTGAGGTCACAAAGTCACAGAACAAGCCGGCTGCAGATGAAATTTTCGAGGCCGGAGAACATGCATAAATAGAAGTTTCCTGCTCTGAGAGCTCAAACATTTCCTCCAGGCGTTTGGCTTGGTGGAGCTGGGGCCAAAGCAAACTGTCGTGCCTGGCTGGCTCCTCGAGGCCGCTTGGGCAGCGAACCTGCCCCTGCTCCAGGCAGGACCAAAGCAGCTCTGTCCCACCAGGTGTGCCCGCAGCCTGATGGAGACAAGAGGGACTTGTGACATGCCTGAGACTGTGTCCATCTGCTCAGCATCCTCCCAAAAGGTCCTCTGGGACCCTTTGGCAAAACACCGGCCCCACAGTGTGCATAGCAGCTGGTCCCAGCAGCACTGGGGTTGTGAGAGTTGGGTTTTGCATGTGGGATGTGTCTAGCTGCTTGTGGCAGTGGGATGCTTGGTGGGCTTTGGAGACAGTGATATTTTGGGGGTGTTAGGATGCTCAGTGCAATGTGATGGAGGTGGGATGCTTTGGCAGCATCATCACACCCAGGTCTAGCAATACCCCTGTGCTGGCTGTGGCTGGGTCATGGCAGTAACTTGCTTTTCCTCTCTGGTTCTTTAGGATGCCACAAAATCCCCCAGGAGTGGGCAGTCACGCTGCAAAACATCCAGGTACTTGCCTCAGTTTCCCCTTCTTATGTCTATCTCTGCTCTGCCTGAAGCTCCCTCCCACCAAGACCTGCTTCTCCAGAGGTGCTATACCTGGGAGATGCTCCAGTGAAGAATATGCAGGAATTATGATCCACCATCCCCAACTTGGGGATGGATACCCCAAGAGGACTGGGAGCAGGGGACAGGCTGCAGGCAGCTGTGTCCCAGCCTGTATGGCAGGGTGGGGAAGGGTCCCTGTGTCCCTTCCCTGTGCCTTGACAGTGGTCCCCTTCCTTTCCCAGAAGCATGAGCCTGACTGCAGCCATGGAGAGCAGCTGTGAGCTGGACCTGGTGTACATCACGGAGCGGATCATCGCTGTCTCCTACCCCAGCGCAGCCGAGGAGCAGAGTTACTCCAGCAACCTCCGTGAAGTGGCCCACATGCTCAAGTCCAAGCATGGGAACAACTATGTGGTGAGGGGCACAGCCAGGTCCCTGCCAGGCTGCTGGAGGGGCTGGGGTGCTCAGCTGCTTGGGATGGGTACTTGCAGGGGATGGATACTGCATTCTTGTCTCCGTCTGGGCTTTGTTGAGGGAGGGTCTTTGCACTGTGCTTGATAGATTTTTTTTTTCATGGGAGATTACCAGTCCCTTTCAGACCTCCTGGGAGTTTTTGGTCATTGTGTTGCCGTGTGGCATAATGTTACTCAGGGTAATGTGTCTGGGGAAGCCTCTCATAGCAGGATTTGGGAAGGCTTTGGGGCGAGGGAGAGGTGAGGTGGCAGCAAGGAAGATGTCCTCTCACTCTGCTTTTCATCTTCCCTCAAGCTTTTCAACCTCTCTGAGCGGAGACGTGATATCAACAAACTTCACCCCAAGGTGGGTCACAGCTGTGAGAAGCAGGGAGGTCTCAGGGGCCTCAGGGCAGGCCTGTCTGCAGGACCAGCTCCCTGCTACAAGATGTCTAGGGGAAAAACAGCCACCTTTTCTATTCCATCCAGCTGGGAAAAACCCTGAGAAAAGCACTGAGACTTCACACTGTGTTTGTGGTAGTTCAGCTTGACTCCCATTACCCTCCCAGTCCCCCCTTCTCAGCCCAAAACTGGCTGTTTGGAATCTCCTGGAGACCTCCCTAAGGCATTGTCCTCATCCCTCTGATAGTGGAGGAGCCCTCAGAAGCTGAGCCAATAACCTGGGGTGAGGGGCCTGAGATCTGGGACCACGGTGGCCTCCCTGGACCAGGGATCTGGGCAGTGGGGTGCAGTGTTTGGGATGGGAGGGTGCATGTCAGAGCAACACAGTAATGCCTACCCTGTGTACAGGCTTTGCCCACTGGCAGGCTGGGAACTCCACGTGGGCATGCCTGTGACCCCAGGCTGTTTGTTCCCCTGTTCAGGTGCTGGATTTTGGATGGCCTGACATGCATACCCCTGCACTGGAGAAGATCTGCAGCATTTGCAAAGCCATGGATACGTGGCTCAATGCAGCAACACACAACGTGGTGGTGCTGCACAACAAGGTAGGCAGGACCCATCACTGGGGCACAGCAGTGGGGCACTGGGGCTCTTGGGGCTGCAGGGACTGGGCTGAGCAGCCTCAGAGGCTGAGAGATGTGGAGAATGCAGTGGTTTGTGGTTTGGGGTGTGGGTCGGTGTCAGCACATATGTGTAGATTGGTGTGTGTCTAATAAGGGTTGGGGCATCTGTGGGCTGGTGTATTCTTAGAGGGATCAGTGTGTGCCTCTGTGGGATGTCTGTGCCTGGGTGCTCACAGGCCCTGCTGCCCCATGACTCCCCTTCTGCTGTGTGCCTGCAGGGGAACCGTGGCCGGCTGGGGGTGGTAGTAGCTGCCTACATGCACTACAGCAACATCTCAGCCAGGTGAGAGAGACATGAGGTCCTGGGGTGGCCCTGGGGCTCACTGGTGACCTCCATCCCAGTGGTGCTGGAGTGCTGGTGCCAATACTTTCCTTCAGCCAAATCTGCCCTTTCATGCCCACAGTGCTGACCAGGCTCTGGACAGGTTTGCCATGAAGCGCTTCTATGAGGACAAGGTGGTGCCCGTGGGACAGCCATCCCAGAAGAGGTGGGTCCTGGCACGCCTTTGCAGGCTGGGTTTTTCCCCGTAGGGTGGTTGGATGCAGGGCTCCAAGGTGGATGTTCCTTTGTGGGTTCTGCCCCTGAGCTGCCTGTCTGCCCTCCAGGTACATCCATTACTTCAGCGGGCTCCTCTCTGGCAGCATCAAGATGAACAACAAGCCCCTCTTCCTCCACCACGTCATCATGCACGGCATCCCCAACTTTGAGTCGAAAGGCGGTAGGTGCCCCCAGCTGCTTCCCCAGCCTGCCTCTTCCCACCACCATCCCACACTGCCTGGCCAGGCTTGTCCTCCTTGGGGGATATTTTCCACCATTTCCTTGTCAATTTGAATTTCCCTTTTCCTCTCAGAGACTGTTCACTCATAATAGCAGGGTGCTACCCTTTTCTGGCACAGATGCCCCCAGAGGATGCCCTCCCAATGCTGGGCACTAACCTGAGCTATGACAATGTTTTTCTGACAGCTTTTCCAAGGTTGGCTCCAGACTGGAGATTGGGAATGCAGTACCCTATCTGGTGCTACCCTATCCCCAGCCCACCACTTGCCCTAGGTCCTGCAGGACCCAAACTGTGAGGGCTTTGCCCTTTCTCAGCTCATCCACAGCATCCTTTCTGCCCATTGCAGATGTTGCCCTTGGTCGGTGCGGGCTGGCTGGGGCAGGGAGCGGCTGTTTGCTTTGGCTCCCTCCCTGTTTGGATTTCTCCCCCGTGACTAATCCCTCCCCTGGCCCCTCCGCCCAGCCGGCTAACAGCAGTGTGCCTTTTCTCCCCGCCTTGATGTCTTCCAGGTTGTCGGCCCTTCCTGAAAATCTACCAGGCCATGCAGCCCGTCTACACCTCGGGGATCTAGTAACTATCTCCTCTCCATGGGGCTTTCCTCCTGCCCAGCGTGGGGGGCATGGCAAGCGGGGGATGATGGAGGGGATCAAGGACAAGTCCCCTGTGCTCTTGTGCTCTGTGCTTAGTCCGTTTGGGGGCCAGGGGAAAAAAAGGGGCTTCGTTTTTTTTTGGAGGTGGTAACTGGGTGTAGTGGGCCAAACTGGACCCTTGTGCTGAGAGTGCTGTAGTGACTCCGTGTATCAGCAGAGGGAGCCTGGGGCTGCCGGAGCCTGGGGCTGGGTGTCCCCGGAGGGAGGGGGGAAAGGGACGGGAGACATCTGGGAGATGAAGGCACCCTGGGAGATGAAGGAATTTCTTCTCTCCCTGCTTACAGAACTGCTCTTCCTGCCTGGATTAGTCCTCACAGATCACAGAGTATTCTTAGTTGGAAGGGACCCACAAGGATCATTGAGTCAAACTCTTAAGTAAAAGGCCCATATGGGGATTGAACCCACAACCTTGGTGTAATTAGCACCATGCTCTGAGCAGCTGAGCTAATATCCTTTCTTTATCCAAAAAAAAAAAAAAAATTCCCTTTGTTTTAATCTCCCCACAATTTTTTTCTGATGCTGATCCCGAGAGCAGGCACTGGCAGAAGGAAAACAGGAGTTGATTTCTCCAGCCTCCAAGACACTCTGCCAGCGCCACATCCCAGTCTGGGTGGGACCCCTGGCTCCCGGTCTCCCTGGAGGGACCAGAGCACCTCACCTCTGGGATATTCCCATCTCAACCCCCAGGACTAGGATCTCACTTCTGTACAGCCATGGGTCCCCGTTAGCTGAGATTTACTGCCATCCCAGCCTTGCCTTTCAGCTTTTAATAGACTGTTTATGGGATGCCTGTAATAAACTCCAGGTTTATCTTGCCTGTGAAATCCTACTCCTTTCTTCCCTTGTTCCTCGCTGCTGACGCCACCGCCCGTCGGCAGCCTGTCGGCCGTGCACCAGGAGGGGAGGGCTTCCCGCAGGGAAACTGAGGCAGGGAGAAGAGTCTTCCCAGAGATTTCTCCCTTTGTGTCCTAAGCCCCAGTTGAGCTGTGGGAGCCAGGTGGATGGCTGATAGCCCAGCCTCAGCACTTGGAACCTGGGCAAACCCTCCCACCCAGCAGTTTTTGCACCCTTGCTGAGCTGTGCCTCAGTTTCCCCTTCCTGTCCTCCTTCCAATGAGAATGGGATGCTCCTTGAGGTGGTGGATGGGACGCCCCTCAGTCACAGGGAGGGCAAGCTCTGTGCTTTGCACCTTTTCTGCCTGGATTTGGGTGGAAGGGCTGGTTGAGGTGGTGCTAGGAGTTTTCTGGGGGGGGTCTCTGCACCACAGCTCACATCCTCCTGCTGTTCCTCTCTGCAGCAATGTTCAAGGAGACAGCCAGACAGGCATCTGCATCACCATTGAGCCTGGCTTGCTGCTCAAGGGCGATATCTTGGTAAGGATCCTCTGCTCAGCTACTGGCGTAGGAAGCAGACGGGGGTCGTGTGGTTACCTTGCCTCAGGACCCCCAGATTCCCCCTTGCCCAGATCTGGGGGCTTATCCTGATGGCCCATCCCCGTTTCCCTCTGCAGCTGAAGTGCTACCACAAGAAATTTCGCAGCCCTACCCGTGACGTGATTTTCCGTGTGCAGTTCCACACGTGTGCTGTTCATGATCTTGACGTCGTCTTTGGCAAGGAGGACCTGGATGAGGCCTTCAGAGGTAACTGCTCTGGCATTTCCCTGCTCCAAACTCCCTCATCCTCCTGCCCCTGTAACTCTGGTATCATCATGGGCACATCTGGGCACCCATCCCAGATCCATCCCTGCCAAAACAGGGCACCCCTGCTCCATCTGCAGGGTGTGGTGCTGCTTGGGAAGTGGTGGCACCATCATCCCTTTCAGTGCCAAAACCATTTTACTGCTGCACAGGGGCTGCCTCAGAGTTGTTCTCAGGGCTAAGGTGCACTGCCCCATGCAGGGATATCCCCTAGCAGCTCCCAGCCTCAAGGTGGTCTGCAGGCGTGTTTGGGGTGGCTGGCTACTACTGGAGCTATGGATGGAAATAATTTGTCCCTTTATTCTGCTCTCTCCTTGCCAGATGACCGCTTCCCTGAGTATGGGAAGGTGGAGTTTGTGTTCTCCTATGGCCCCGAGAAGATCCAAGGTATGGCTGGCTCAGTGCCATGGGGGTTTGGAGGTGGATGCTGTCTCCTTTCCTTCTCCTCAGCTGTATCCCCTGCTCCCTCCCTTGTGACCTCTACCTGCCCCATTGCAGTCCCTTTGTCACCAGGGTAGGGTGAGGCATTCAGGCAGTAAGGCTGATCTAGGAGCACCTGTGGATGCCCTATCTCTCTCGCTCTCTTCCCCAGGAGGCTGCTCTCCAAAGCCTTTGGTGGCCCAGGAGAGATGGAAGGAATGTTTGGGAATGAAGGACTCCCTTGCTCAGAAAGCCCAGATCCATGCACACTCACTGCCAGTCTGTGTGCTGGTCTCTAGGCAATCCCAAAAGCCCCAGGCAGTCTTGTACACCTTGTTTGTGAGTCTCAATGTATATCTTGTGCTCATCCATCTCTTGATGCTGCCTTTTCTACAGGACTCTCCTGCCTTGCCCTATGACTCCTGAACTTTTTTCCTTGCATGCACTTTTCTCCACCTATTCCCTCATCCCATCCTTGCTGGTTCCATTGTCATCCTACCTGACCATCCTGCCTCTTTCCAGGCATGGAGCACCTGGAGAACGGGCCCAGTGTTTCTGTGGACTACAACACGTCCGACCCACTCATCCGGTGGGACTCCTACGAGAACTTCAACATCCAGCGTGAGGACAGTGCAGAGGGGGCCTGGGCTGAGCCACCCCTGCCCAGCAAGCACCTGGAGAAAGGTTAGGGCTCACAAGGTGGTCGGCCAAAGTGTCCACATGGAAATATTCTCTACCCCAGGACAGGGGACACTGCTGGGCAGTGGGAGTTGCTGATGGGAGCAGTGTGGCCATGGGATGGGAGAGCAAGATCTCATGGACTTTGCCTTCTGCCACAGTGCCAGAGAGCTTAGGCTCTTCTTTGCAGCACTTATCTGTCAAAGTGCTGTTTGCACATGCAGAGTCCAGCCTTAGTTTATGCCCCAGAGCTTTAGGAAATCCAAACCCCATGTCTGCAGGACCATTAGGTATCCGAACTGCAAGCATGGCAGGATGTAGATTACTTTAGTTGCCCCTAGGGGATGAGGATATCTTGCTGGCCTTTGAGGGTCTGCAGCATCTCTCAGAGCTGGGATAAGCCCTTTGAGCACCCATTGTGTTGCAGCAAGTTGACTGCTGTCACCCACTTGGCAGGAATGGGCAGTACTTGTATGTCGAAGGGTGGTGGGCCCCTGTCCTGGAGGCAAGGCCATCCATGGCCAAGCAGATGCCTGGGCTTTCCTGGCCAGATCAGGAGAGACGTCCCTGGAGCAGGGACAGCTGCAGTCCCTGATGTCCCTGAAGGTCACCAGCTGCTTTGAGTGGGAGCAGTGGATGGCGACGCTTGCAGTGGGGGCTCTGGGTGCCTGGGGTGGTGAGAGTGTCTGTGCTATGGTGGTCACATGGAACCAGACCTGGGGCGGCTCTGTGGAGCTGGCACGGGCACTTGCCTTGGCACAGGGCAGTAAACAGGCAACTCGTGATGTGCAGGCTCAGCTGTGGGCTGTGTGCAGCCTGGGGAGCTGTGGGTCCAGCCTCAAGCTGGCAAAACTGCATGGCAGTCCCCTCCTGCCTGCAGAGACCTGAGTGCCCCTCATTGCATGTTCCCCTCTGGACCCTGGGCCAAAGTTTCTGCAGCCCAGCCTCTCACAGGGCTGCAGGGGTACCCCAGGACTCATCTCTGTACTCTTGTGGGGTTCTTGGTGAATACTGGGGCTGCAGAAGTACCCCTGGGCTCCTCTCCATTCCCCCTTAGGGGTCTTAGGTGTCCCTCCATGCACCAACTGGGCTGTCCTCTGTGCCGGGAAGGGTGGCAATAGGGAGTGAGGGCACCTTGAATTTGTAAACACTGTCCCAGTTTGGAGATGATCCGGGACTGTGCAAGGGTGAAGCTGCAGGCAGAAGGCTGCCCTCTGACCCATGCCAGCAGAAGCAGCTGCAAGAAGCCCATCTATAAGGGTCTTTCCAGCTGTCCCACGGGGCACTTTGAGCAGTGGTGGTGGGAGTCAGTGTGGGCTCAAGGGGCTCCCATCTTTCTCCCTCTCTGTTGTCACTTTTCCTCTTTTCCAGCCTGTCCCAAGCCAGGATGGGGACTCCGGTGTCTGGCTGTGCAGGGGGGGTCCCTGTTTATGGTCGTTCTTGCCTTATTTGGTCAGGGAATTGCACGCCACATTTTTGGCACCACCAGGCGTGAGCAAGCGGCGTCCGGGGGCGGAGGGGGGTGAGGTTGGCACCAGGACCCACGCTGGGCTGGGATCAGCCGCTGCTCCTTGTCCCTGCCACTGCTGGTCCTGCCACCCGCCGAAGGCTCCCCACGGACGGCCAACGGGATCGGGATCGCCTGCCGCACGGTGGGTTCCCCATGCCGCCTCTCTGCTGGCCACAGACCCTCTCACTGCAGGTGGATGCCCTTTCTCCAGCAGCTTTGTCTCAGCACGGAGCACCCATAAGGGCTGGGGGGTGCCTGCCAGGGTGGGATGGTCCTGTGGGACCCCAGAACTGGAGGGACAGGCGGGTGGCTGGGGATGGTGCCTGGCCTGGCGTTCCCCTCACCTCTGCTGTGCTTATCTGGGGGGACTTGGAGAAAGGGAATCTCATTTGCAATGGGGTCATCGGTTGACTGAGTTCTTCCAGAGCAAGGGGCATGAGAGGGGGAGCTGTACCATCACATCTTGCTCTCTGGCTGAGGGGACACAGCTGGATTCAACCGGTTCTCTGTGAGCCACTTCCATGGGACAGGGTGGCCCCATCAGTGAACTCACCCTCCTGCTTTACTCAGGCAGGGTGTCTCCTGCCCACCATGTTTGAGCTGCCCTGTGGCCCTTAGGGAGAGTGGGGTGCCCCACAGCCTGTCCTTCCACCCCTCAGCCATGTCCGTACAGCCTGGGGAAGGCAAGTGCTCTGCCTGCTCTCCTTATTCCTCCTTGAAGGGGCTTTGGGGTCAGTGGTGGCTGCTTGGCAGGTTCTTGCTGCAGTGCCCACGGCCATTGACTGGCTGAGTGTGTTTGAAGGCTGAAGGGAGGTGATGGCATGCTTCATCCTCTGGCTGATTTTGCGGTTGCCAGCACTGTGGTAGCTCTCCTTGGGGTGCCAAGCTGGCTCCAGAGAGGCAGGAGGAGGCTGGCAGCTGGATGTGGCACTGCTGGGCTTGCAGCTGGTTGGAGGATCACTGCAGAGAAATTTTGGGGTTCTGCAGTTGCTGTAACTCTGTCTGGAGATAATTTATTGCCTGGTTTGGTTTTGCTGAGAAAACCAGTGCTGATAGAGAACAGGGTGCTGAGGCTGGCATGGAGTCAGTGGACAGGTTGTCCTCAAGGTCTGAATGTGTGACTGTTTTGGGGGAACCCCAAGCTTTGGCATCCTGGGGCAGTGTGAGAAAATGTGAAATGGTTACAGCAGCTCCCTGTAACCACTGGTCCTTGGACCCACCCTGGGATGGCACTGCCTGCCCTGTCTCTTTACCAGGCTGGGAAGAGAGTGACCAGGGCCTGGCCAAATACAACATCTGTGAGAGAGTTGCTAAATCCCCACCTGAGTCATGGTTCTGGCATAGGGCTCCCCTGCAGCTCATCCCTGTCTTCCCACACATCCCCACTCGCAGGGCAGGGCTGGCTGGGGTGGGGACTGGGAAGAGCATCCCACCCTTCCAGTGAGGGGAGGTCACATCAGAGCCTGAACCACATTTGGCATAGGTCAGGGGGTCCTGGAGCCCCACAAATGGAGCTGGATGCTGATCCTGCACTTTTCCATGCGGGAGAAAGCCCCTTGATGGGGTCGCTGTCATCTGTTTGTCCCCCAGGAGGTCCAGCATCTCACAGGGTACACTTTTTCTAGTTGGGTCAAATCCTGTCCCACTTATCAGGAGGGGCTGAGGCTGCCCAGAAGGGCAGGCCAAACTGTGCAGAGGTGGAGAACCAAATGGTCCAGGCCAGAGCTGTTAATCCATTGCTGGAGCTGCTGGCAGGCTGCTGCTCTCCCCCGGCGGCTGGATGGGTCCCTAGGCCCGGCTCGGTGGGGAGGGGGGCCACTGGCTCTCCTCTTGCCTTCACCAGCTGACTAAAGCTGAAGGAATTCACTTCCCTTCCTTATTCTAGCCCTCTCCACTGCTCTCTGCTCCATCTGCTGCAAGGTAAGGGTGCGTTGAGGTGGGCATTTTGGAGGGCAATGAGGATCTGCATGGGCTGGATGGGAATTCACAGGGGGTGTCCCCCTTGCTTCTGATTATTCCCCATGGGTGAAATGTTGGAGCATCTACAGGCTTGGCTAGGCATTTCAGCTGCAGTGTGGCTATTCCCAGGGCAGGATCTGTCCTCTGACCTGGTATTTGGGGTTGTCATGTAGGGTGGGGGGTGGGGGTTGTTCCCACTGGGACCAGGAATCAGGCAGGGCTAGGATGCAGGGAAAGAGAGACCAGCTGGTAGAAACTCAGCCCCTTCTCTTCCTCCTTTAAACTGTCCTTGAAGTCAAAACTTGTAGCAGTTCTGTGCTTAGGGCTGGGGTTGTCCCATGGCAGGAGTGGGGAGCTCTGTCTGTGTCCTCCTGCAGCCGAGACAGCTGGGACAGAAAATAAGCAGGAGGTTTTGGAAGGACGCTGGCTTGGCGTGTGGGAGCATCTGGGAGCAAACAGGGCTGTGAGTCAGGGGGCTGGCTGGAAACACTGCTCTCATCCCCTGCCGTCATCCATGGGGGTGTGGGAAACGCGGTTTGGGGGATTAGAGTAGAGGGAGCCTCACGTTTTGCTGAGTATATTGGATCAATTGAGGAGTGGAGTCCTGAGCATGGCTTCAGGCAGGGGCCTGGATGTGGGGTGGGCTTGCTGTCACCTGGACAAGCAAATTGTGAGCACCATTCCAGCACGGATTTTGCTTGGGGTGGAGCAGTTTGGTCTCAGAGAGTTCTGGAGTGGATAGGATCATGGCATACCTCCTGTCACAGAGCAGGGCAGTGTGTACATCCCAAAAACAGGGCTGGAATGTCCGTGCTGTGCCCGTGGTGCTGGCAGGACAGGCAAGAGGATTGTGAAAATGGGTCAGCAGGGTCGGTGGCTTGTCCATGGCTGGTTTCCACCCTTCTTTAGCTGAGTAGTTATTTCAGATGGAGAAACTCAAGTCTCCAGCAAGACACTTGAATTTGCAGACCCGTCTGGGTTTCAGCATCATGTGTGGCTTGGAACGACATCCCCACCCTGAATGTGTCTCTGCTCTTTGGGGACAGGTGTGATGCATGCACACAGAGGCTGGGCAGGGCTGGGTGTCCCAAATGAGGGGCTCACCCAGCGGGGTGATGCTCAGTGGACGGTGCAAGGTGGGCAGGCTGTCCAGCTGTCCGGCTGTCTGTCCTGCCTAGGAAACAGTTAACGCGGCGGAGCCCTGCCTGTGGAGGAAGTAGTTAATATTCATAGCTGGAAGCTGTCTGTCTGGCTGTCCTCCCTCCATGGCTCCCACCCTCTCCGCACCTCACTGAGGTTAACTCGGGCTGGGGCTGGAGCTTGGGCGGCCCCGCCGCCCTCCCCGCGCCGCTCCCCTTCCCCTCCCGCTCCTCCCTGTGGTCCCTGTGTGGTCCGGGGCGGAGGGGAGCACAGCCGCACCTCCTCGCCTCCATCCCATCTCCGGCCTCTCCCACCTTCGGGCTCCTCCATCCTCTCCTCCAGCTCCCCGTGTCCCGGGGTTCCCCGCATCCCACCCCTCCCGGCGCCCCGCCGCCGGCCGGGTACCCCTCTCGCGGCCCCGCGGGACACGGCGCTGGAAGGGAATAGCTCCCTCCGCGAGAGGGAAAGCAGAGCCAAAGGGACAAACGCCAGCCCAAGCCAGCTCCAGGCCGTCGGCTCCTGTCCTGGACGGACACACGGGGCTGGCTGTGGACGCCGTTGGAGCTGCCACCACACCGGGTGCCCCTGGAAGGCTCTGGTGCTGGAAGGGGTAAAGGAAAGGGATTTTGCTGCCTGCTCCTTCCCTTCGCCTCGGATCTTTTAATCCCCGTCCCTTTTGGTAAGTCCTGACTTTGCTTCTCTTTGGTCTCGGGGCTGGGTGGTGAGTTCATGGTTGTGGTGACCCACGGCTTGGACTGGGGTTGCTCCGTGCCATCCTATCTGGTTACAGGATGAAACCAGAGATAAGGAGGCTAAACTCTTCCCCGTGCGATTCTGCTCACACCCCACATCCTGCAAAGAGTCCCGGGACCCCAGGGTCTTCCCTGTGGGCTGATGCTCCAGAAATGCATTGGGGCCAGAACTCCGGGTGGGGAGTGGAGGCAGCAGGTGGGATGCTGTGGGGGCACGACACGGGGAGACACGGTGACTCCTCAGCCTTATCTTCTGCACCGCTGCAGAGCCGTGGACAGGATTTCGGATTTTGGGGATGCGAGCCCACCCCTTCGGTACTGTCACACTTGTCCTGGACCAGTTTTTTTATTGGATGTAGTCACAGGGTGCTAGAGAAAGAGGACAGAGCATTTCTCCTCTAGGGCAGCGAGCCTGACAGCAGGGCTGGGACCAGGCTGGGCTCGGTGCTTCCTGCAGCTGCCTCTGTACAGCTGGAGCAGATAGAGCCATGGCAGAGCTGCGACGGGGCTGAGCCCAGGGCAAACCCAGCCCACGATGGGATGGCACAGTCTGCCAGGCAGGAGCTACTCCGACCTTCAGGGATGAAATCTGACCTTGCTGGGAGCTGCCGACTCTTTGCAAATGGGGTGCTGAGAGCCTGCTGCTTTGAGGGTGGCTGGTTTGTCTAAGGTCTTCTGTTCCATTATCCCTTAGTTTTTATTTTATTTTATTTTATTTTGTTTTGTTTTGTTTTGTTTTGTATTCAACTTCTCAGGTGACAAAGTCATATAGTCATATGAGAGATAGTGTGGCCCAGGGATAGTGGAGGAGGCTTCAGAGTGGCAGCAAATAGCAGGATTTGGGATTTGTCTCATGGCATCAGAACCCAGGAGGTACATGGGGTTGAGGACAGGATGAACAATCAGGTGTGGGGCAGAGCAACTGTGGGAAAAGGGCTTGGCTGATGGCTGAGCTGTCACAGGCTGTTCCTTGCTTACTACCCTGCTACTGCTCTCGGGTGAGTGGGTGGCCACCAGCCCCCCTGTGTCCCCTCCTCATCACCGGCTCTGGGGAAGGTGGGATGTAGCAGTTGGGGCTTTCTGTCTCTGCCATGAACTGCTCTGTGCCCCATCCTCACCTCTCTTGGAGACATTTCTCCCAGCCGTGGGGCAGTACCCAGCCTAAAGAGTAATTAAAGCCTTTCCTGTCTATTTTTTCCCTTGGCACCACGTGGTTACATTTATATTTATTTATTCCCTTTTCCTTTCTGTTCCTCTGCCGTTGTTCTCCCAGCCCCCATCCTGGCTTTTGCCCTGTTTCTTGAGACCAGCCAGCACCATCACAGCCTTCAGATAGGAGGGCTGTGCCTTTTCCCCTGTCTCCAAGCAATGTCTCAGCCTGTCCAGCATTGACACTGCCCCTGGATATGCTGTTTTTCTCTTTTTCCCTCCATGGAAAGGGTTTCCCTCCCTCTCTTACCCTTTTCCCCAGTAGGGGAGGTGTTGTGGAGACAAATGCTACTGGCTCCTGGCTTTACTGGCTGGATGAAGAAGCTCTGAGTCTCTGGGAGAAATTCTCACTCTTTCCCATACCAAGTGCCCAGAGAGGACCTTGCTGCTTGGTCCTGAGACATCTTCAAGCCAACATGAGGCTTTGGGGCTCAGCTGCCTCCTTGGGATACTGCCAGCGAGGATTCAGGAGTGGAAAATAAGCAACGAGGAGAGGGCCCTGACTTTGTAGGACTTGGGCTCGGCGTTATTACCCTCCTGTGCTTTGTGGTGAGGGGGTTGTTGGCGTGGGAGCTGCCGGGGTGCGGGTGCGGCAGCGTGGGGCTGGTTAAGCTGTCCCGGCTCGGAAGTGTTTTGCTTGCAGATAGGGCCGCTCTGATTTCACACTATCGTGTTAGGGCCGTCTTCCGTCCCTGAGTCAGCTGCCTGGCCCCCCGCCAGGGAAGAGTCATTTTTTCCTCCAAAAGAAAGTGTTTAACACTGCTCGCGGGACCTTCCAGGAAACCTCGTCAGGGAGCTGGAAAAACAAGAGTCTGCAGCCTGGTCCGTGCTGTGCAGCTCTGGCAGGGGGGGATGTAGCTTGGGAACTATTCCCATTGCTGTCAGTGGCCAAGGTCCCTCTGTACCCCCAAAATCTCTCAGCCCCACTTGGAAAGGTTTAAGGGGTGCAGCTGGTTGTGGTGTTGGTGCTGATGGGTGTGATGGAAGCTGGGGGGCTCAGAACTGGAGTGCAGGATTACTGGTGATGATGCTGCCATGCCCTGGCTGCCCCCCAGCCTTTTGGGGCTGTGGAGCAGAGCCAGCTGCCCACACTAGACTTGAATCACGGTGCCAGGACCTTCCTGCGGAGGAGATGTTGCATGTTCAGGGTTGGGCAGTGGCACTGTCAGTGCAGAAGCTCTAGGGCAGCTTGACCTGGCCTGAGAGAGGGAAGGGAAAGAATAGAAAGGGTGGGAGCCTGTCTGTAGTCAGGGAAGAAGAAGTCAAGGATGTCTGTGTGACTGGATCTGTGCATTATCTGGGAGGAGAGTGGGCAGGGGGAGGAAAGGTGGGTCTGTGGTTCATCTGTCCTTCACCCGTGGGCTGAGTACATCCATCCAGCTGGAGACACAAAGAGCTACGAGGCCACATACTGATTGCCTCCACCCGTCCTCCTACGGCCTGTGGTGCATCTCCTCCACCCTCCCTTTTTGCCTCCCTGGTGCCACATGGCCCTTTGAGGCTGGATGAGCCCTGCGGAGCAGCGATCGCTGACTGTGTGGGTAGCCCTGGCCCCTGCCAGCCGTGGAGGAGAACTGCCAGGAATGATGCCTGGAAATAGTGCACAGGATATTTGGTGGATCCCAGTGGAGCAGGCAGCGCTTGCGTGTGGATCGGGGGGCTGTGGGGGCATGGGGTTGGGGAGGACCTGGCTGCGATGTCTCTGCATGGTGGCGCCGGTGGGAGTGTGGAGGGTGCCGAGGAGACATCGATGCTGGTCGTTAAGTGTTCTGGCACACGGAAGAAATCGAAATCACCGGCTAATGGGACCCATTAGCTCCATGCAGAGAGCCAGCAATTGATCTGGGGTCTCGTGTTCGTTTCTCCCCTTGCAGAGGTTGGGCACACACAAGGGCCCCTGGATGGGAGCCTCTACGCTAAAGTGAAGAAGAAAGACTCCCTCCACGGCAGCACCGGTGCCGTCAACGCTGCCCGACTCCCGCTCTCGGCAGCGCCCAACCACGTCGAGCACACACTCTCGGTGAGCAGCGACTCAGGCAACTCCACCGCCTCCACCAAGACCGACCGGACCGATGAGCCGGGGGTGAGTGGGGCACCCAGTGGCCAGGCGGTGCTGAGTCCTGAGGAGAAGCAGGAGCTGGATCGTCTCCTTGTTGGCTTTGGCTTGGAGAGCGCGCCACCCATGCACAACCACGTGCCCGGCCCCGTGCCGGCGCGCCTGCCCACCATGCCGGGCCGCCACGTGGTGCCGGCTCAGGTGCACGTCAACGGGAATGCCGCGGCGCTGGTGGCCGAGCGGGAGACAGATATCTTGGATGATGAGCTGCCCAACCAAGATGGGCACAGTGTGGGCAGCCTGGGCACGCTCTCCTCCTTGGATGGCACCACCACTGCCAGTGAGACCGGCTACCAGGAGGCACCTCGGGTGGGCAGCCTGTCCTCCCTGCCCAATGGCCCCTCGAGCTGCAATGGGGCTGAGAAGCTGCTGAAGGAGGGGCTGTACGATGGCGAGCCGCTCTCCAACGGTGGCTACCCCTACAACAACCAGAACACCCTGATGGGCCACCAGCTCCGTGACACGCTGCCTTCCTTGCGGCCCTCGGCATCCACTCAGGAGCACCTGGCTGGCTACACACAGCGCCTACCGGGCTCCCACGCCCCAGGATGGCTCCAGCCTCAGCCACAGCCCAGCTCCCAGCCCTACCTGTATGCCTACGACCACCCTGGAACCTACCGCTCCCGGTCCTTCCCGGCAGTGGACACTGCCAAGTACGACGCCAACCCGGCGCTGCCCCAGGCCCCGGCTCGCAGTACCAGCAGCCGGGAGGCTGTGCAGAGGGGCTTGAATTCCTGGCAACAGCAAGGGGGAAGCCGGCCACCTTCCCGGCTGCAGGAGGGTGGCATGGAGAGCCACAGCCCCAGCATCTCTAGCTGCAGCCCCCAGCCCAGCCCGCTGCAGACGGTGCCCCCGCACAGCCACAGCATGCCCGAATTCCCTCGGGCGCCCTCTCGCCGGGAGATTGAGCAGTCCATTGAAGCGCTGGATGTCCTCATGCTGGACCTCGCACCTGCCGTCCACAAGTCGCAGAGTGTGCCTGCCACCTCCCGTCAGGACAAGCCAGCCGGACCCCTGCCCTCCTCCCTCTCCACCCAGCCCATTGCTGGTCTCTACGCCCGGCCAACTCCACAGGTGGCCCAGCCGAGGTCCTTCGGCACGTCCATGAGCCCCGCAGTCTCTGAGCCCGGGAGCAAAGCCTATTCTCCTGGAGAGCTGGACTATGGGGTGCATGATTATCGGGAAACCTATTCGCCCTACAGCTACCAGCTGGCACCGCTGCCAGAGCCCAGGAGCTACAGCCATGCCCCGGCCGGAGCACAGATGGGCACTGTCCCACTCAGCACCTCGTGCTACAGCCCTGTGGGGTCTCAGCAGCAACTCACCTCCTCCCCACCTTCCCCAACCGTCCCAGCACAAAACCAGATGCCCCTGAAGGGACCAGAGAGCTATGAAGACCTGTCGAGGTCGGCAGAAGAGCCCTTGAATCTGGAGGGCCTGGTGGCCCACAGGGTGGCAGGTAGGATCCTTTGGTTCCTAGGGGGGACGGGGAGGATCGCATGTCCCGAGGTGCTGGAGCACACAGGGGTGGCATGCATGGTAGAGCTGGGGATAAGTGATGTGGAGACTCCTTGTCTGTGCTGGATCTGGGCTTGGGACTGAGCCCCCTGCCATGGAGACATGCAGGGCAGGGGAGCAGCCTGTGCTGCTCTTTGCTGAGATCCTCCTTGCAGCTTGCTGTCTGCAGCAGCATTGCCCAGAGAGGGGAAAGGGTGGCTGAGGGTGTCAAATCCCCCCATCATGTTAGGGTAACAGGGCTGGTCTGTCCCTGGTGGCAGGGCCAGTCACTGAGTCTCTGGGGAATATCTTTCTTTTGGGGAGAATATGGAGGGTTTGGGAAAATGTTTTCATCTCTGGCTGAGGTTGTCCTGCCTGGACCCCACTTGGACATGATGTTCTCCCTGCCTGGAGCATGATCTGGTATAGGGTCCCAGCAGAGAACTTCACTTGTCTTGTGTTTGATGTCTCTGTGCTCATCCCTGATTTCAGTCTCTTCTTTCCCCCCTGGATTTCTGGGTTTGGTGCTCAGACCTCCTCCTTGGGCAGCTGGGGTGCTGCTGGAGTGGGGACTAGGCTTTTGGGAACTAGGCTTTTGTCTGTCAGCTGTAATTCTGCCCAGCTTGGCCCAGGGTGGTTTGAATCTGGACCTAACTGTGGGGCAGTGGTCAGGGGCTGGGAAGACATTTCCCAGCCCTACCAGAGAGGTTTGGTGCTTGGTTGGGTGCACTGCCAAGTGTCAGTGCTGTGGCTGGATGAAGGCATTAGCTCTGCACTGTGGAGGGCAAGCTGCATCCACCAATCCCCTGCACTCCTGCAGCTCTAGCTTAGTGGCTTTGGGGACACAAGAGTGTCCCAGCTGCCCAGAAAGAAGGTGCCATGGTGCTGTGGCAGCTCGGTGCCCTCCCTTCCCACTGCTTCGGCTGCAGTTGTTCAATTATGGAGTGACATTTGGGAAGGGTTTGGGGCTGTGGGCCAGCTCGTGATGCTGGGGCTTGGCAGCTCCGTCCCTTCCAGCTCTGTGCTCAGTCCAGAAACTCGCCCGGCATTAGAGGGAGGGGGAAAAGGCTTGGCTGGAAAAATCCAACAGCATCAGCCTCCCAGGAGTGGGGACTGAGTCACAGGGTGGGGGGCAGGAGGGGTGCAAGTGGCAGGAATGGGATTGAGGAGGGTCATAGAGTTGTTAGAGGAAGTTTGCATCAGTCTGGACCTGACCTCTGTGATCCAGATTAGATTCACAGAGGGTCATGGGGCTTTTGCAAAGAATTTAAACAAACCTAAGGACACATGGATGCCCAAACTGCGCTGTATGTCTGGATTTAATATTATAAACAGCACATGCCTGCCCTCCCCTGCCGCCCCACATGAAGAATTAAAATGGGCTGGAAAAGTAGACAGTTCTAAGGAGAGGAGGAAGAGTATTTGCAGTGTGTGGAAAATGGACTTTTGATGGTGTCTACCAGAAACATCCATCTCCCCAACTTGGAGTCAGGTCCTCAGGGCTGGGCTGGGGTTACTGTCATCCCCTCGTAGTCACTGGGCTTCCCAGGGAGGAGAGGGGCATGTGGGGGATGGTCCCCAGCCTGTGGCCACCTGTCTCTGCTGGAGCTGGGCCTTCTGTGCTGAGGTGGGGACAGTGGGTGGCCTGACCTCTGGCGGGAACAAGGTGTCCTGAAGGCAGCGTTGGGAGGGGACAGCCAGCAGGGACCGTGGGGCATGGACATGTTTGTTTACATTCCCTGCTGCTATAAATTGCCTGCATGTCCTGGCACAGAGATGAGGAGCATCTCACACCTCCTCCGTTCTTGGTGGGGGAATGCTCCCATTCCTTTTTCCCTCTGATGATGGAGGGGAAGACATGACACAGGGCAGCACTGGCATGCCCAGCATCTCCCCTCAGAGGGGAGGTGGTCCTGTCATCCTTTAAGACCCTCTCATCTCCTAGCAAGGCATCTGGGGTCACCCTGTCTTGTCCCAGCCCTGAGCATTCTATGATGAAGGGGACCTGCATGCTGCCACCCCTGAGAGGATGGTGATGGGGCAATTGTGGTGTTGCACAAGGCTATATATGACTAGGAGCCACCATTGATTTCCCATATGGGTTTATGTGGTGCCTGGAGCCAGGCAAGTTGGCTGATGGAAAAGCAGCTCCAAGCAGAGACTGAGCTCCTTCAGATCCCAAATGACCCCAGACTCATCTGTTGGACCCCAGCTAATATTTTCTCTTCTTTCTCTCTCTCTCCCCCCGTGTTGTATCTCGTGACATTTGTCCTGTCTGCCCCTTCCTCTCTCTGTGGGGGACTGTGTCTGTCCTCTGTGACCTCCCACCCTCCTTGCACTCCCTGTCCTGGTATGCTGGCAGAGTACAACGCCAAGCTCAGGGAACTCAACAAGAGCACCAAAGTCCCCCGTCCTCCTCTGAGCCAGCAGCGGTCCTTCTCCGGTTCGTTCATTCCACCTCCTTCCTTTTCCCTCCTTCCTTGTTCTCCAACCTTCCCCATGCATCCTTCTCCTTCCCTCTCTTGCATTCTTCCCCCCTCTCATCCTTCCTTCCTTTTCCCATCTTTTCTCTCTCCTTCCCCTTCATCGCTCCTTCCCTCTCATTCTTCCTTCCTCCTCTATGCATGCTGAGTGATCTGTGTGTTGCATGGATGTGGGATGGAGGGAGGCTCAGGAGACCATTTCCATGCAGGATTGATCCCTTTTCTCAGCAGAGTGATGGTCAGGGCTCCCATTGATCTTCTCCAGTGATGGAGGAGCCCTTGGCCCTGGGTACAGACTCCCCTTCCCATGCTTGGTTTTGCATCTCATCCAAGCCTGGCACTGCTTGCTGGTGGGGATTTCATTGCTGGGCCAGTTCTGGACCCTTGCTGCATCCCCCTCCAAGCTTTGCCCTGACCACGGCTCACCCCCTTGGGAAGCAAGGGCTGGGGTGTAGCTCCACAGAACCCAGATATAGCCAGTTGTCAGCCCAGGAGGGTCTCTCCTACATCAGTTTAGGGATCCCCATGTCTTGGTGTGCAGCTGGAGAGTGTGGGCTGCTGAGGCTGGATTTTATGCAGTGTGACTTTTGCTCCTTGAAGGTGAGTTTGCCCTGGGTGATGTGTGCTGGTGACCTGCTTGGTGCTTGTGCATCCACTTGTTGCAGGGCAAGGAGAAGGTGGGAGATGGAGTGGGGAATCACCATCTTTCTGTGTGACCTTTCTCTCCCCACTGGCACCTCGGGTTTCTCCCCAGGAGGACCAAAGAAGTTTGAACCCTCCCAGTCCCCAGCACAGAGTAAGGTATTTTATTGTACCCATTTGGGGTAATCAGGCAGGACGTGGGGAGCAGTCTGTGCCAGGATGGGGTGAGTTGGGCTCTGGTGAGGAACAGCACAGGACAGCATCTGTTCCTCATGCAGGCAGGGAGTGAGTTTGCATCTCTCTTCCCTGGGTGTTGTGTGTCCCCATTCACATCCCAAGGGCCTTGGGATGCTTCTTTGTTCTCTTCTGTCCACTGTGGGGATGTCACCTGGCTCTTGCCTGGCAGTAGTTCTAGAATCTCATGGCCTAAAAGCAGCTGCCTCCTGATTGGCCTAAAACCTGGCTCCCCAGCTGCAAAATTACCTGGGTTTGCCATTGCTTCTCTTTCCTCCTTCCCCAGCTGTTGTGCTCCCTGCCCTTCCCCAGCCCTAGAGCTGTGCTGAGTCTGAGGGCAGTGGGTTGGTACTAGGTGAGGTACTTAAATGAGCAGCAGGAGGAGCGGCAGTGCCGCAGGTGTTGGGTGAGAGGGTGAGGAGTGGGGTGCAGGCTCCTGCTCCCCCTTTGTGAACAGGAATCTGCCATCCTGCAGCCAGCCACGGCGTCCTTGGGAGTCCAGTGACAGTACTGTGGCTAAGGGAGGCTGTGTGTCTGCTGAGGGGGCAAAGCAAGCTGGGGAAAGGAGAGTTTGTTTTTCAGCATAGTTTCCATCCCATAAATCACCCAGGGGGTCGGGGGAGCCATGCTCAGAGCCTGGGTTTCCTCCAGGCTTTGCTCCGGGCGGCCTGTGAAGTTTCCCACTCTCCGCTCCTGAACAATGAGTCCCTTTTTTCCCTTCTTCTCCCTCCCCTCCCTGTGGCCCCGGCTGCTTTCCATGTCTGGGGAGCGGAGCAGCCAGGGCTTGCTGAGCTCCTGGGTGTCCCAAGGGGCCAGATCCAGCACCCTGTGGTTAGGTGACGTGAAGCCCTGGGGATGGAGCAGGGGAGGGAGTCCCATGCTGCAGATGTGTGATGTGCACTGATAGCCAGGCTCCATCCATCTGCCGAGTTTAGTGCTTCCCAAATGAAAACTGCAAAGCAAGGCAGTCATGCAATGCTCGAGGAGACAGTCCCTGCCTCTCTGAAGTGCTCAGGCCCTGCAGCTCACTTTGGAATGGGCCAAGGGATCCTCCTGCTGATGCTCCTGCAGTGTTCAGGAGAGCCCATAGTGCACAAAGTAGAAGGAAAAAAGAAAATATGAGAGTTTGCCTTTTTCCCCCCGTGTATCTTGTTTTTCCCTGTGCTCACAACTGCGAGCTTCAGTTCCTTCTTTTTTTTCTTCCCTTAAAGTGAAGAGCAGGACAAAAGATATGGGGTGGCCCTATGCAGTGCTGCCCATACCCGCAAGACAGCTTCCCAGGGACCCTCCCTGTTCTCTCCACGGGTCTTTTTAATGGCCATCTCCCGTGCCGGTGAGCACCTGCAGAAAGGATCGGGAGTTGTGTTTCAAAGCTGCTCTTAGTGGAATTTTCCAGGCCGCCTCTGCGGCTGGAGCCAGCCCCGTTGGCTCGAGTCCCCCGCCTCGCAGCCTGGCCGCCTCTCCCCCCGAGCCGCGATTTTATTGTTGTTGCCATTCACTGGGCCGATTATTTAGAAATGCGCCCGGGCCACCTCCTTCCCCGCTGCCCTGGCAGCCCTTGCCCCGGGCCGGGAAGGCTCTGGTGTGTGCGCCGAGCAGCGAGGAGGGGAGGGCAGCGGGTGCGAGGCGTGGGTCCCATGCGGAGCCCCCGGGAGTGAGGGGAAGCAGCTGATGGCTGGTTTTCCTCCGCCAGCCCGTGGGAAAGGAGTTGGTGTTTGAAAAGTGCATTTCCTGGAGCGTGATGCTGGCCTTTCTCCTTTTTTTTTTTTTTTTCTTCTTTTTCTCCTTTTTCTCTTTTTTTCTTGCCTAATGTGCTGACCAAGGGGAGCACGAGTGCTCAACGATTGTGGGAAAAGTAGAGGGGACAGGGGGACAGTGTTGTCACCTCTGCTAGGGGGTAGGAGTGTGAGTCCCACGGGGCTCTGAGCTGTGCCCATGGTACTCTGTGGGGTTGCTGTGCACTGAACTCAGCACCGTCATCCATGAGCCCAGAGTAACCTCTTAGCCAGGCGAGGTGGGATAGAAAGTGTGTTTGGGCACTGTCAGGTGTTGGGAGAGTTGAGCTGCCCTGCCCTGTGCCAACTTTGTCTGTGTTCCTGGGCTTTATCCCAGCCAAGGAGATCTATCTCCACAGCCCAAGAAACCCAATCTCCTGTGATGACTTGGTTGCTCTGTTCTTCCCCCCAGCCTGTGGACATTGGTGGCTCCTGCTGCTGGGATCTGGGAAAGATGTTTGGGGGGAGATGGAGGGGAGATGCTCATCTCTCCTTTTAGAGAGGCTTTGCACTGGGGACAGAGCAGCAGTGTTTTTGTAGGGTTCCCCGCACTATTCCTCTGATGAGTTCTTTCTTCTTTATCCAGTGCTCCCTCTGCCTTGGGGATTCACAAAACCAGGCTTTTTCCACTGCTGTGGTTGAAGCCACATCTGGCTGTGGGTGCAGGGATGCAGGCTGAATACAGCTGTCCTTGTGCTGGCTGATTTGGTCATTTCCCACTATGATGCTGTCGGGAGGCCCTGTTACTTCCCTGCTCTGCAGGGATGGGCTGTCTGGACTAATATCAGGATGCTCTTGCCCCTTGCACTCACTGCTGGAGGTTGTCCCTGAAAATCTAATGGTGCTTGGGAGGGCTAGTGCAGCATTTCAGCCACTAGCCACAACCCTTCCTTGCTCTATCACCTGGTCACTGTTGTAGGGTGTATCTGCTCCAGCTACCCATGCTGGTCTGGGGCTTTGATGCAGGTGCGTGCTGCAGCTGAGACCTCTCAGGTCAGGCCTGAAGCATCTCCTGCTGGTCCCCACCTCAGCTGGCAGCTGCTCACCCCTGTGCCACCCTGTGCTTGCCCTGCAGGGGTGCAGTCCCGGGAGAAGCCTCTGGAGGAGAGCGCTGTTCCTGCCTGCAAGCGGACTCCCAGCGACAGCCACTATGAGAAGAGCTCCCCGGAGCCCGGCTCGCCCCGCAGCCCCACCGTGCTCTCACCTGAGGTGGTCAGCACCATTGCAGCCAACCCTGGAGGGAGGCCCAAAGAGGTGGGCTGGAGTAGAGGACTGCTGGGCTGGGGGGTGGCTGACTGGGGAGACGTGCCTCCAGGGAGGGGGATGGCTTGGTCAGCATTCACAGCATCCACAGAGCTGGGGGTCAGTGGTGGTTTTTGTGGTGGGGGGGGTGGTGGTTAGCAGGGAGGAGGTGAAACCCTTCCCTTTGCCCCCTCTGCCCTCTCCTTGGGGTGTCCTAGAGGTTTGTGCCCATCATAGGGCTGGGACTGACTCTTTCTCCTGCTCTCCCCAGCCTCACCTCCACAGCTACAAGGAAGCCTTCGAGGAGATGGAGGGTGCCTCCCCCACCAGCCCACCCTCCAGCGGCGGTGAGATTTCTCCCCCCACCCCAGCCTTCCCTGTGTCACCACAAACCCCTTACTCCAACACCTGTAAGTGCCATGCCTCTGGGAGGCAGAGGGGCTCGGTGGGTGGCTCTGGGCAAGCCAGAAATTTGCCAAGGGTCAGACAGCTCCAGGTTCCAAACACCCACCACCATGTTAACCACTCCTCCTCTCCATCTTCCTTTCTCCTCCACATCCTGCCACTCCATGCTACTGTCAGCATCCCACTTACCTCAGCTTCACATGCTTGGCACACTCTTCTTGGCTTTTCCCCACCCTCCGCTCACTGGGGTGTTATTTTTTTGGGATCCCAAGGTGGGATGGGGAGAGAGGCATGCTATGACCTCATCCCATCCTGCATCTCCCCATTTTTCCTACTGGCATGGCATGAAGAGAAAACTGCAGTGGCAGGCGAGTGGGAGGGAAGCTGGAGGGACTGAAGATTAGGAGGGCAGACTCACACCACATCACTTCTTGCTCACAATTTCAAAGGCAGGAGGGGCAGAAGGCTGGGATGCTCTTTGCATGCTGCATCTTTTGCTCTCTGCTCCTCCAGTGCAGTGTCTCTGTTCTGACTTGCCCTGTCTCAGTCGTGGTGGGTTTGTGTGGACTGGGTTTGTGTGACCAGCTTGAGCGACGAGCCCTGAGGAGCAGCCACACGTCAGCACAGCACGACTCGGGCCAGAGCAGTGCAATGGAGCAGCCAGTCAACTGGGAAACCCTTTAAAAAGATGACAGCCCCCCCATGCCCTCTAAAACACTTCTGTAGGCTGAAGGCTGAAGGATGCTCTAGGGCTGGGGATGCTTGGGCTGAGCACAGCCCCTTCTGATGCCATGTCCAGGTTGCAGTGAAGCCACCTGCCCCCCACAGCTCACCCTACAGGGCTTGGAAAACTTAACAGTTTTCTTGGGTACTGTTGCTCTTCCTTCCCTGCAATCCTCTGGTATTTGAGCCCTGTCTCTCGGGATGAGGAGATGAGTGTGGGAGCATTGCTGGGTGCTTGGCAGCTGGGAAATGGCCCTGTTGTTCCTGGGGACTGAGAGCTCGGCCCCGGGGCAGCAGCAGCTCCTTTGGCAGTGGCTCAGTGGCTCTGGGAGATGAGTCACTTGCAGAGGTGACAGGAACAGCCTTGCTGGGGTCGTGGCCCCAAGACAGTGCTGCTTATCCAGCACCAGCCAGGGAAGCCTGGGAAGCTTGAAGCTGCAGCTTTCAGGCTTTGCCAAAGTGGCCCTGAGGGATATGGGAGCAACTCCCCTCTGTTGGGAGATGGTGGTCCTGGGAGAATTCCTGGCCCTGTGAGGACCCTGCTGCTCATCAGCCAGCTGAGGTGTGAGCTGACATTGTGGCTTGGGGTCAGCTGGATTGGAGGGAATCAGACACCCACTGGGGAAGGTGCTGCTGTCTTAGTTTCCCAGGAACTTGGCTGCTCAGCTGCTCCAGCCCCAGGCTGCTGGGTGGACCTGGCCTCAGGGCAAGGGTCTGGCTTTCCTCTGGACCTCCCACCACCCATTGCCTCCCAGCCTCGCCGCAGGCCCTGTGCCTATGCCACCAGTCAGAGACATTCAGACACTGCTGGAGGCTCGTGCCCTTTGGTCTCTCTTGCTGAAGATGATGCCCTGAGGTTTCCTCTGATACGGGAAAATACAGCATCAGGGAGAGGGGGCAAAGCCAGTGGGTAGGAGGGGGAGGAGGTGCAATCTGCTTGGGGCGGTCTGCCCTGCCCTGTGAAACCCCACTACCATCCATGCCATAGCCATACACACATACACAGCTCCTCCTGGTGTGTATGTCTGGGCACAGGGGTGCAGAACTCACATGTGCATTGCCAGCCCTCTGTGTGAACATCCTCATCCACCCATTGAGCTGGTCTGGAGGGCAGGGGTTTTTTGGCAGTCCTCCTGTCCATTTTGTGGGGGTGATGAGCTGCTCTGGACAGCTAGGTTCCAGCTCAGCCAGATGTGGGAATTGGTAGAAAGGGGTTCAGGTGTGGGAGAGCTGGGTTGGGATGGCTGCTCACATAGGGGAAATGAAAGGGGCTTCATGTGTTTATGGTGGGGCTTTATGGGGATGGTGCTGGGAGATGGGGTCTGGGCCTGTCCTGATGGGAGTTGTCCCCTTTCTCCATCCTGCCAGCTTTGCAATGGGGCAGGGGGCTTGTTCCCAGTCACCTCCTTCCCTGTATCCTCTCCCAAATGAAGAGGAGGATCAGCATCTTTCTGCAGGGTGTTGCTTCATATGAGGGCATCTCGTGTTCTCAGCAACCCTTCCTTGCAGCCAGTGGGTGGGATGGGCTACAGGGTTCTGAACCCATGGGCACTTCCAGCCTTTCTGAGGCATCACCTCCCACCCTGCACTAACATTCTTGTGTCCACTGTGCCAACAGTGCGTTCTCCCCCTGGCCTGGCCAAGACCCCGCTCTCAGCACTGGGGCTGAAGCCCCACAACCCGGCTGAGATCCTGCTGCATCCAGTGGGAGGTGAGTGTGGACATGAGTGGGGACTGCAGGCAGATCTTTTTGTGGGGGCATCTGTGAGGATACCCTGGAAGGGTCCCTAGTTTGGAGAAGGCACTTCCACCTCCCTTTTGTGGGGCCTCTGGGACTGTGTAAGCCTGGGGGATGTTGGTGCTGCTCTGGGGGCTCCACACAGGAGGGTCTTCAGCAGTGAAGGCTAGTAGATAACCCTGTGGCCCTGTTTCCTGCCCAGCCCCATACTCTTCCCTCTCCCAGCCCCTACATTCCTTCCCCTCCCTAGGACAGCTGGAGACAGTTTGCTCTCTGGGAGTTGAGCCTGTCAGCCAGAACAATATCCAGAGCTCTTTCCATCCTGGACAGCAGTCTTTTAAGTGCAAAGGCCCTGCTGTCCTGGGGACGTGTCCTGAAGTAGCCTGCCAAGCCAGACCACTGCACCCCAGCACCCAGGGCCCCTTCCTGAGCCAGCTCAGGGCTGAGTGTGACCTCCTCAAACCCATCTGAGCCTGGGGGCCACAGGTTGATTGAGCTCACACTGCAAGACCCTTATCCCTCTGCCCTCAAGGGTGAGCTGATGCTTTTTTGGTGCTTGCTGGGCTTTTTGGAGCAGCCCTTTGGTCACTCTCTTCTGCACTGTTCTCTCTTTCCCATCTGAAGCCAACTTCCTGAGTTCTGGACATCATTTCTGGGATGTTGATGTGATGTGGGGGTGTCTGAGGCTGGGTTTCAGTTTGGAGCACTTCCAGTGTTGGGAGGTGTGGGGCTCTCCTTTGTGCTCTTTGTGCCCCTGCCTGAGCAAGGCAGAGCTGCTTAACTCTGATTTCTCTTTCTGTCTCACACGTCCCTTCCTCCTCTTCCCACTCCCATCACTCCCCTGCCCCTCCATCTCTCAGAGCTAGAAGGGGAAGCAGGCGGTGACTCTGAAGAAGGTAAGAAAGGCTTTTCTTTCTCTGCATCTCTCTTCCTCATGCAACCTCACTGCTGGACTGTCCCTCAGAGCAAGCCCAGGTGTCTGTTCCAGCAGCCTTCCCTTGTGCTGTGCCTCAGGGATGTAGGAGCCTGAGTCTTGCCTGTGCTGCTCCCTTTAGAGGAAGGGCACAGCATGCCTTGTGTCGTGGTAAGATTTCTCAGTGTCCAAGTTGGACCTGAAGGTCTGTCACACTGTGTGACTGTCATCCCTGGGGACTGAGAGCTCTTTGTCAGTGAGTTGCCTCCTTACTGGTGGCATGCTGGGGATGCTGGCACGCTACAGCCAGCTTTGGATAAGCCTGGCGGGATCTGGGAGCAACAGGCCCAGTTTTAGTCTCCTTCCCTCCCCTTTTGGCTTTGCTGTTGCCATTCAGAGTGAAAATAAACCAAAGTGCAGCACAAAAGGTCAGCAGGCGCAGAGGCCACCAGTGTGTTGCCAGCACGGCCGGCTGGGCAGTGGTGCAGCACCAGCAGCTGGTGCACATCTCCTGCCCATCAGGCAGCTGCTCATATTCCCCCCACCTCTCCTGTCTCTGGGTTGTGCCACTTTGGGGATGCCAAAGATGGGGCTGAGCTGGGACATCAAGTGTGGCTGTGCTGACAGTGCAGGCACTGGGACGGCACATCTCGTGTGGGGACAGAGGCTTTGGGAGTGGCTGTGATTCCTTGGAGTGCTGACTGCTAGGTAACGGTTGTTGGGTGGTTTTGCTTCCTCCTTTAATGCATTTTTGCGCCCTCTGAGCTGGGATGAGGAACTGTATGTTCAGGATGGGTTTTGGGGAAAGAGTGTCTCTTCTTGGTGGGTGTGGTGCTTCCTCTAGCCCTAGCAGCCATCAGCATTTCTCCTTGGAAGTTTCTCAAAATGCACACAACCAAAACCTGAACACTGTCATAGTGGAGAAAGTATTTGCTTGAAAAAAATGTTCTACTTTCAGAACTGATTTTTCAATTATGGCTTTTTGGATACATTAAAGGAAGCAAAGCTGGGATAAAACCAGGCTTTTACCCCATAAGTTCCCCCAATCTTTACCATTTCTGTGCAGCTTTAAGCCTCCAAAGACTCAAACATTGCCTCTCCTCTCCTTCCCGCTAAACCCTCAGGGGCTCAAGCTGTCCTGCATCTCTGTCCCCTTGCATGATGGTTGACCCCCAAGCAAGGATGTCCAGTGACCCTGCATTGCCCAGTCTGAGTGGCCACAATGGGCCTCCAGCCCTGCTTCATCCTCTGTAAAATTATATTTTTGGGCACTGAATTTACAGTTCTGTGAAGGGACTGGTGTTTTGGCTTACTGCTGGCTTAGGGCCCTCTGCACTTAGCCACACATTCCAGGAGCCACACTCCAGGGGGGCAGTCCCTGCCCCTCTGTGCTCTGCCTAGCAGATCCCAGCTGGAATGGCTGCCCTCTGTATGGGGTTGGAAGATGCTGTGGCAGTGTGGGAGCTCGGGATGTGGCTGTCAGCTCTGAGGAGGCTTTAAAACAGCCTGACACAGATGCAGCACTGGGGATTTCTGGCCAGCGTGCAGCCCTGCTCGGATTTGGGATTCAAACAAATGCCCATCTCCTTGGTGACTCAGAGTTTCTCTATTTTCCCACCCATTTTCCCATCTCCAGAGTCCCTTCCAAGAAAATACAAGGAGGCAAGATCAGATTTTTCAGCCTAAAAAAATCCTGCCTGAAACTTCCTAACTTTTCTCCTGTCCTGTGTTGAATCAATGTACTGGAACCTGTGCCCATGGCCACACACCTCACTGTGGCACAGCCCCCAAGCCCCCTGCTCCTGCCTTTTTAGGAGGGGCTGGAATTTTCACAGCCCTATGGTCCTAACCTCTTGCAGGCTGACTCATATGTACTGTCTGGCTAATTTTAGTCTGGGCTGGGGAGCTGGGAAGGGGAAAAGTGAGTAGCTGTGAAATTAATTTAATTACCTAAGCTGCAATGGATTTCTTGCAGCTGCCCTGGGTAGTGCCTCATCCCTGTCACTCAGGATGTCCTGCCTTAGATGCTGGTACCCAGCCTGTGTAGAGGTCCATGGTCTGGATTTGGCTCAGATCTTTCCTAGGGTTGTTGGCCAGGGACATCAACCCAAGGGAGGGACTCCTCCTCCCCTCTCCACAGATGGATGGGGCACAGAGATGCTGTGGGGGAAGGAGTGGGACCTATGACAGTCTTTTTCCTTGCATGTCTCTGATCCAGCTCGGAACGTGGAGCTGTGCATTGGCGTTGCTGACGGTGAGCAGGCCAGCTTGCCAGCAGGCTGAGCCAGAGCCCAGCTGTTATGACTAATAATAACAATAATAATGTTTGTAATGCTAATTACTACTGCAGAGCTGCTTTGGGCATGGCCAGCCTGGAGCCAGGGACCAGCAAGGCTGCCTGGCCCATTGGATTTGATGCCAGTGGATGTTGTGTAGGGCAGGCTGAGGTGTGACATGGCTGCAGGACTTGGGGGAATGGGACTGAAGCTGCAGCCCCTTCCTCTGGTGCAGCTTTTGGTGGGGCCTGTGGGGGCTGTCATAGGGATGGGGTCCAGCCTGGGTGGAACAGGAGAGGACTGGGTCTGGTGTCTGCCATGGCTGGTAATGGCCAGCCCAGCCCACTGCTCCTGGCACGGGACAGCTTGGCGGCTCTAAAGGAAAATTGCTTTTCTTGCTCGTGGGCTCTGGTTTCAAGCTGGGCTGGGAGTGAAAGTGTTGGATGCTGCAGTGGAAATAGCTGGAGTTGCCCTCTGGTCTGCTGCTGGAGATGGCTGGCAGAGGTGGGCTGCAGAGGGCAGGGAGCACAGGGCATTGTCATCAGTCCTGTGTGAGTCAGCGCAGGCTGGGCAGTGTCACTGGCTCTATTTTTAGGGGCTGTGGATGAACAGGGAGCAGGACGTGTTCTCTGTGGCATCCTGGGTGGGAGGGACGCTGACTCAGAGGAGGGTGAAGGGGCTGAGGCAAAGGGATCGTGGTCCCATGTTCCAGTCCCCTCAGAGGAAGAGGTGACTCCCCTCCCCATGTCCTGGCTGGGGTCTTCAGCATTCTTGAAGCAACTTCAAGGTCTTGAATGAGCCAGATGTGTTTTTGTACAACCCCTGGTGGAAGAGGTAGGGACAAATGTTCAGCTGGAGGAGGTCAGCTCAAGCACCTTCACTGGTGTGAAATGTGGGTCCTGGGAAGGGTGTGGCCCCTTTCCCGTGCAAGCTGTAGGCTCATCTGTTTTCACTTCTCTCTTGCTGCAGAGCCCAGGAGCTATGTGGAGTCAGTGGCGCGCACGGCCACCACGGGCAGGGGAGGGACACTGCCCGCTGCCCAGCCCGCTGCCCAGCCCGGAGGCCCAGAGGTGCCCACCAGGAATGGCACTTTCTCCAACTCCTTCATCGCTCCCAGCCCTGTCTCCACCAGCAGCCCTATTCACAGCATGGATGGGTAAGGCAGTGGGAGCAGGCCCCAGGGACTGGTGGGGCTGGGGCTGAACCCTGCCTGGTGCACAGGCTTAGAATCACAGAGTCACAGAATCATTAGGGTTGGAAAAGACATCCAAGATCCTCACTGAGTCCAACCTTTGACTGAACACCACCCAGCCAACTAAATCAGAGCACTAAGTGCCATGTTCAGTTGTTTCTTGAACATCTCCAGGGATGGTGCTTGTTTCCACATGGAAACTGCCTTTGCAAAGACCCACATCTCTCCATGCAGGGTCTGGGTATCCTGGCCAGCTGTACACTTTGGTGCCCTGAGAACACAAATCTGGGTCACTGCTGGTTACTTGGTGGTTACTGCAGGACCTCAGAGACCTCTCACCTGGACCCTGGAGTGGGAGAAGGGATGGGTTGTGCTAACCCCCTAGCCCTGTGTTAGGCTGAGCATAAGTCCTCTGGGGTGAGATGGAGCCATTGTCCCTGTCCCTGTCTACCCTGCCCATGAGGTGTTCTTCAACCATGCAGGCTGGCGGGGCAGAATAAATCGGGGGTTTGCTGGGAGCAGAGCTGGAAAATGGCTCTGTTCCCCAGAGAGTCATACTTTGAGATGGAACTGGGATTCATGGTGGAGATAAAGCTACCTCTAGTTGCTTCCATGAAGCTGGCTGGACACATCCCACAGTTGCCTCTGAACAACCAAGTAGCTGACTGGCTCTGTTGCCTCAGTTTCCCTGTGTGCCACATGCAGGAAGGTGCCAGTATCAGTCAGCAGCGGTGGAGCTGAATTCTACCTTTCTTCATCTCTCCCTAGGGCCTCCCTGCGCAGCTACCCGTCGGAAGGCAGCCCCCATGGCACGGTTACACCTCCCCATGCCTCAGCTGAGCCCTTGTACCGCTCGCCTGTTGGCTCTCAGCTGCCCTCTGCTCACAGTAGCTACCAAAACTCGTCTCCATCTTCATTTGCAATGGTCCAAGGAGGGGTCCCGAGCTCGGCATACAGCAGCCCCGACTACCCTGATGGCCGAGCTGGCCTCCAGCCAGAACCCCAAGCTCGGCCACAGCCCCAGGTCAATGTGGTGGGGGTCCACACTCTGCCAGGGAGCCCCCGCAGCCTGCACCGGACAGTGGCTACAAATACACCGCCCAGCCCTGGCTTTGGGCGAAGAGCCATCAACCCCAGCATGAGCACTGCTCCTGGCAGCCCTGGGCTGGGCAGGCATGCTGTGATGGCCCATGGCAACCTGGTGGCCCCACCAGGCAGCCCCAGCCTGTCCAGGCACCAAGCAGCGGCAGCCACATCCCCTGGCAGCCCCCTGTATGGCTACTCCAGCCCAGAGGAAAGGCACCTGACGCTGTCTCGGCAGAGCAGCTCCTCTGGCTACCAGCCCCCCTCCACGCCGTCCTTCCCCGTCTCCCCGGCGTACTACCCCGGCACGAGCACGCCGCACTCCTCCTCCCCGGACTCGGCTGCCTACCGCCAGGGCAGCCCCACCTCGCAGCCTGCTCTGCCTGAGAAGCGGCGCATGTCGGCTGGGGACCGCTCCAACAGCCTCCCCAACTATGCCACTGTCAACGGCAAGGTGTCCTCTCCCCTCTCCAGCGGCATGTCCAGCCCCAGCGGTGGGAGCGCCGTCGCCTTCTCCCACACTCTGCCGGACTTCTCCAAGTTCTCCATGCCAGGTAAGGGATGCTCTTGGAGGTTCCCACGTCCCCCTGCCCTACTCAGGGCTCTCCCCTCCTCCTCCTTGCTGGCTGTCAGGAAAGGGATTGCAGCCATGTCCTGATTTACCCCTCCTGTCCATCCGCAAACCAAAGGCACCGCTGGGGCTGGGGCCATTTCCTGCGCTTTCTGACAAATCCAAACAGGAAAAACACCGACTAGCATCTCTGGCATAAACAGCTTCCAGAGATGTGTATGAGGAGATCAAAGCTCCTGGAGGCGATTTTTCTCTGCCGTGGGGATGCACTGACCTCTTGGCCTCATTCCCAGAGGGCTTTACCCCACTGGGACCCCACTGCCTCCTCATTTCCAATGGTGCCATGCCCCAGGTGCCATCCTGCCTGGTACGCTTTTGCCAGCTCTGGTTACAGACACCTTGGTGACGTCAAGATTGGGCTGATAGGAGCAGGGGAATAAAGCTGTGGGGCAGCGGTGGCTCCGGCTGCTGGGCCAGTTTCTCTGCTGAGCAGGCAGCCCTTTGTGGGCACTCTGGCACTCATCCTGGCCCTGTGACTCCTGTGGCCAAGGACCTTTCCCAGGGGGGAAGCATGAGCAATTAAAACCTGTAACAATTAACAAGCAGCTTGAGAGGGGAGTGAGCCCCCTGCCTCTCCAAAGGTGACCAGATTGCTGAGGGCTGATAACATGTCTCCAGCAGAGATGCTATCCAATCCTCTTGGTTGTTTGCCTGGTTGTTTTTGGAAAGCAGGTGGTTGTAAATGTTGCCTGAGTAAATGACAGCTTCACAGCCAGAGGACCAACTCCCATTGGGGCTGTGCCTCTGGTGGGCACTGAACAAGACACAGCCAGGCTGGGGCTGCTTTGCCTAGGGTAGATTGACCTGTCCAGTTCCTCTTCACAGAGCGAAGATAAGGGAAGAAATTTACTTTTATGAAGTGTGATCCAAATCTTGAACATCAGAGAGCAGTGAAGGTTCTCTGAAGTCAGGATCTCTCTGGCACCTCCAGACATACCTCTTTCCTCCAACAGTTTTATTTCACCTGGCCAGCTTCTTTTAAATGAAGAATTCCCATTTCATCTTTGGCTGTGTACCATAGGGGCTCATCTGACACACAGCCTTTTGAGGCCTCTTGAGCTTGGATTTAGCTTTAGATGCCCAGCAGCCCCATAAGCTCCAGGTAGTGATACCCTGTGTGGGTATGGGGAACTGGGCTGAGGTTAGTGCAATGTGCTGGATCTGAAAGGAGCTGGACGTATTAATGCTTTGGCTGGATGTAGAGTCTCAATACAGCATCTTTTAACTTTTTTCTTGTCTTCCCTTTCCTGCAGACATCAGTCCTGAGACTCGTGCCAATGTCAAGTTTGTGCAGGATACTTCCAAGTACTGGTACAAACCAGACATCTCTAGGGAGCAGGGTAAGTAGATGACACAGGGTTGGGAGTTGGGATGTATCTGGAATCACAGGGATTAGCAAGGGTTGGATGGGGGTTGAAACCCCATTCAGCTGCAGGTTTGTGTGATGTGGGCTCTTCAAACCTTCCTCTTGGTAGAGGAGCTCCAGTCCCCGCAGTGTGCTGTGGATCTGTGTTTGCAGTTTAGGGTGCAAAACACCTGGATCTTGAGCTAATAATGCTCAGAGGTCTTGGAAACATGGCTAAAAAGAGCGGGGAGAACAAGGAGGCGGCAGGATGCCTTCAGGGGCATGGTCCCAGCATTTGGGCCTTGGCTCCTGTTTGCTCTCCAGTACTTGGTTGCTCAGACATAGGCAGGGTGGGAACTGGAGATGCCCACACAAGGGCAGGGGAGGTGGGGGGAGATGAGCCTCAGCCTGGCAACCCACTCAGACGCGCAGGAGGCACAGTAACATTGTGGTGCCTGGCTATGAGAGCAGGGGCACCCTGTCCAACCTACACTTGCTGGTCTCTTCAGGGTGTGTTGGTTCTCACTGTGCCTGTCTGAGCTCTGCCATTCTCTCCTGCAGCCATTGCCTTGCTGAAGGACAGGGAGCCGGGGGCTTTCATCATCCGGGACAGCCACTCCTTCCGGGGAGCCTATGGCCTTGCCATGAAAGTTGCTTCTCCGCCTCCCACGGTCATGCAGCAGAACAAGAAAGGTATTGTGTGCCCTTCTCCTTCCCACGCCGAGATGCTTTCCATCGTTCAGCCAGGGCGAGCGGGCAGCTGGGGCTGCTGAGCAGTCATGCCCTTGGGTATGTGCTGATGTGGCAGGATCCCTGCCTCCCAGGGCACAAGGAAGCACCAGGCATCCTCTGCCCTGAGCTGTGGAGGGCTCAGGAGCACCTACATCTTGGACTTCAGTATAATGAAATGGGTAGAGCCTCTCCAGCCCACCAGCACTGTGGGGCAGCTTGGCTGGGGGTTGACCATGTGCAAAGGGACAGATTTGAGGAGGGTGTGTGTAGTGTTAGGGACCCATCTCTTGAGCTGGAGCACTGGTTCCTTAATGGTACTGCATAGTAATAGGAGGAGGGTGGCTGTGGTGTGAGAACCTCTCATCTCTTCCCAGGAGACTTGGCCAATGAGCTGGTGAGGCACTTCCTCATCGAGACAAGCTCACGAGGTGTGAAACTAAAAGGATGCCCCAACGAGCCTAATTTTGGTAAGTCCCCCCAGTGTGCTTTCCACATGTGGGGTTGGGTTGGGAGAGCCTTGCCTACTGTCAAAGCAGAGCTGTCTGGGAGAGCCTGTTACTGCCTCTTGTCCCTGTGTAACTGAATGCTGTGGGATTTTGGAGCCTCTGTGTTCATGCACACTCATGAGAGCACACAAACATGCCTGTATGCATAGGAACATACCTATCTACACACACGTGTAGGACAGCTAATATTGCTGGGAGGGTGGAGAGCAGGGGCTCCCCTTGTTCCATTTATTCCATGACTAATGTTGTCTGAGGAGCTGCATGAAGACCTTTGCTGCATTTTTTGTTCCTAAAGTGGCCCTGGCACCTCTGTCCCCTCCTGTCTGTGCTGTCTGTGGAGGGCTACATGGTGATTTCTGTGAGAGGAACTGCCACATGTGGCATTAGGACCATTAGTGAGGAAACCCACCTAAAAGCCTGTTTCCATCCCCCCAGAGCAATGGTGACCTAATCAGGGAAAGCTGGAGTTTCTTGTTCCTTTCCTTGGTTAATGGTTATCGTAGTTTGGATTGTGCGGTTCCATAGCCCAATGATTTTGCAAAAGGATTATTGTATTAACCCAGCAGGTGCAAACAATTCTTCACCTGGCAACACTGGCCCTGTGCTGACCATCTTCCCTCTCTCCCCAGGCTGTCTCTCAGCGCTGGTGTACCAGCACTCCATCACGCCCTTGGCCCTGCCCTGCAAGCTGGTCATTCCTGACCGAGGTAAGAGCATTGCATCTGTCCTCACAGCCTGCAGGGAGGGGGTAGGTTTCCAAGCAGGGAGCACCAGTAACCATCCCATGTCTCCTAGATCCCATGGAGGAAAAGAAGGACTCTGCGTCAGCAACCAATTCAGCCACGGACCTCCTCAAACAGGGTGCAGGTGAGTTGAGAGGGGTTGTTGTGAGGTGAGCTTGGCTTGGAATACTGCTTGACTCCATGTCTGCTGTCTCCCTTTCCAGCCTGCAATGTCCTCTTCATCAACTCAGTGGAGATGGAGTCTCTGACAGGCCCGCAGGCCATCTCGAAGGCTGTTGCTGAGACGCTGGTGGCTGACCCCACGCCCACAGCTACCATTGTTCACTTCAAAGTCTCCGCACAAGGCATCACCTTAACGGACAACCAGAGGAAGTAAGAGCCTCCATGGCCACATCTCTGGCCAAAAGCCAGTGTTGGCTCATTCCCAAAGCCCACAGGGCTGTGATTCAGGAAGTGTGTTGGTGAAGGATGTCCCTAGAATGGCATCAACCTGGTCATGGACATGGCTGGGCTTTGTCCTTGACTCTTGGAACATCCTATGGGAGACCTATGGCAGTGTCCCCTGGGCTGGTGGAGCTGGGTTGTGGTGAGACAGTGGTGGAGCTTCCCTGGCCCTGATATTCCCTGCTTTGTGTTTCAGATTGTTCTTCCGAAGACACTACCCCCTCAATACTGTCACCTTCTGTGACTTGGACCCCCAGGAACGAAAGTGAGTGCCCTAACCTGGGGGGAGTGCATGACCCCCAGCCCTTTCACTCCTGTAGCCTCCTGGGATGCTTGGAGCAGGGTCTTTGCTTGCTCTCTCCTCTGCTCTTGCAAAGAGAGAATGCAAGGTCCCCTTGGATAATGTGGTGCAGTGCCAGCTTCTTCTGGTGACTTTTTGGTGTCTCCAAGCATCTTCATGCTGAGGGAGAGGTGCATCATTTTTCCATAAAGCCAAAGGCCCTGTCTCTCTGTGGGGTGCAGGAGGGACCATCTCTCACACCTTCTCTTCTCCTTGCAGGTGGACTAAAACTGATGGCAGTGGCCCAGCCAAGTAAGTACTTTCTGTGCTTCCCAGCAGATTCCTCCCAGCTGCTGTTGAGGTGGCTTCTGCCTGTGTTCGGGCATTGGCTGGGAGATGTCCTGTGCAAAGCATCCTGGCTGTGTTTGAGGTGGGCTCAGCTCCTCACTGCAGGAGTGTTTCATCCAAGCATGAGATCATAGTCTTGGGAACTCTGGATGCATCTTTTAACCCCAAATTCCTGGTCAGAGCAGGCATGGCTCTTGCTGAACTGACCAAACTGGAAACTCTCCCAACATTGGGAGAGTTGGGGAGTCATTGGGAATCAGGTTATGGAGCAGAGATGGGGTTATGCTAATGGCATGTGAGCTACTGTTCATCTCTTCCCTTTCTTCATGTCCTGACCCATGGGGGAGCACAGAGCTGTTGGCTGAGCCCATTTGCAGGGGCCAGCTCCCACTAATTTTAGCCATTGTGTGAGCGAAGGGGTTTTTATTAGGATGTCCAGCTGCTGGGATATTTCCCCTCCCCAATTAGAAATGCCGTAGCCTGGGCCTGTCTCACATTCTGTTCCCCCTGTATTTATAACTTGAGTTTGCACATTCTAATTTAAAAAAAATAAGGGACATTTTATTCATCAGGGGAGAGACAGACAGAAATAACCAGATGGTCTCATTCAGCTTCCTGTGTCCTTGCATGGCCTTCATCTCTTGGAGGGTTTGCCCCAATGGCCAGCGCATCTCATCTCTGGTTTTAAGAGGCCAAACCAATCCTGTGCTCATCTGGAAGGTCCCTTCTTTGGGATGGACTTGGGGAGAGTGGCAGAGATGTTCAGACCAAGGGCGGTTGGGTCAAGAAATGATTGAAACTTGGCGTTCAAAGAAACTGAGCAAAGGGAAGAGGAAATGGGCGTTCATGCAGGCTGGTTTGGGATGTATCCCTCTGTGTTGTGAGATGTGGATGTTAAAGAGGGGAAGTGGTACAAAACCATGTTGAAAGAGGGTGGTGGTAATCCGTGCAGGAGCAATATTGAGGCTCTTGCCTTCTCTCCACACAGGCTCTTCGGATTTGTGGCCAGGAAGCAAGGGAGCACCACAGACAACATCTGCCACCTCTTTGCTGAGCTGGACCCAGACCAGCCAGCTGCAGCCATCGTCAACTTTGTCTCAAGGGTCATGCTTGGCTCCGGCCAGAAGAGATGAGCTGGCACTTGCGGGTGATTCTTGAATTTTGGAGAAGGACTTGGAGCTGATCCGAGAAGGAGTGTGAGGAAGTGCATTGTGGGAGAGGGAAGTGAATTGGGGGGGGGGAAGGGTTGGAATTTTGGAGGAAAACAGCAAACAACAGAAAAACACCAACAAAGCCCCTAAAAACTCAACACAAGCCAAACACACACGTAGAGGAACCAAAGCCACGCACCTACGAAGGAGAGCCACAAAGTCATGCCAGAGGGGATGCATGTCCCATTGCAGGGAAGGTGACCAAAGCAAAGGCGGCAGTGAGGGGTGTGTTTCCAGCTTTCAGCACCATGGCCTCAAGTGGTGACATCCATTTGGGACTGATTGTGGGACCATGACTGGTGTTTTCCATCTGGAAAAAAAAGAGGCAACTGGCAAAACCCATGGAAGAAGCTTCATCCCAGCAGCTCCATCTGCTGTGTGTTTAAACTGACCTGTAGGAGATAATGGCATGCACTGGGTCTATGGGACACCAGAGGAGATTCTCTCAGAAACCTTCCCTTGTCCAGCTGCAGAGGAGGGTCCTCACTGGTCCCTGTGCATCCCCTAAAACCTGCTCACGACCTGGTAACTTGCTGGGGACATGGGAAAATTGGTCCTGAACCTTCCAATCTCTGGGGAGCTTGGCCATGGGCTGACCTTTGCTGACCCAGAGCCCAGCACCAGTCACAGGTGAGATGCTGTGAGTCCACCCGGAGAGGGGGGTCACGCTGTTTCTCCACTTCTCCAGGGGTTCTTGTGCCCCCCAGCCTGTGAGGAGGTGTGGGGGTTCCTGCCACCCAGCACCTGGGAAAGGTGGATACTCCCCAGGAAACTGGAGGATGCAGAAAGTCGCCTCCTCTCCCATCTTCCCCTTTTCCCTCCCGTCACTAGTCCTCTTTGACAGTTTTCTCCTGCGGCCTGTCACATTCTCCTAACACAAAAAAAAGCAAAACAGAAAGGAAAGGAATAGTTGTAATAATAATAATGATTATAATAATAGCGGATGCTGGCACAGGTGGGTTCCCTGTGCAAAGCAGCAGACCCGTGGCTACCCCTATCTAGCTCTTCGGAGACACGCAAGCGGTTTTTAAATTGCATGGACATTCAAGTTGCACGAAAGGCAAACGACTACAAGTAACTCAGGCGCTTTTTTTCTCCTTTTGTTTTGGAGGCCACGTTAAAAAAAAACAAAGAAAAAGAAGGAAGAAAATTTAAAAAACAAACAAACAAAAAAAGCAAGGGGCCTGCAGTGGCTGGGCAGCTTTGGCTCAGTGGGGAGGTAACAGGTCCTCTGAGAGCCACCCTGGTTGACGCATGTGTACCCCCTAAACCATCTGGTTTGAGGTTGTGCCCCTGAAATGCACCATAGTTTTGCAGTGATTTCAGTGCTGTTGGCTTTTCCCTTAGCTGTGGTAGGTGAGGAGGGCAAGTTGGGTGGAGAGAGGGGCAGAGGGCCTCTGTGCCACTGCAGGGGGAGAGATCATTGTGGGGGTGCAGCAGGTGGAGGTCCCAGCCCTATGGTGCTGGGGAGGGGGCAGAGGATGTTTTGGGTACATGTGCAGGTTTAGGGCAGGGGGAATAGTCCAGCTGGAGCTGCGGGGTCATTACTGAGCCCTCTGCTGCAAATAGCAAGCCCCTGAGAGCTTTTTTGGACAAAGTTTCAGTGCAAAGTGGCCCAGATAGTCTTTTGGGGACAAAAATTAGACACATAGCACTGCAGTCCCCTGGAGAGCTTGTCTCCCGTGGACCACCCTTGCCTTGATAGCTATAATATATATACAAGCTATACTGACAAAATACTGTAAGCTAATGAAATTTTAAGGAGGAAAAAAAAGGTTAAATTTACGCTCCAAAAATATTTATTTTCGCCATATCGCTTTCTGCGCATCATATCTCCCCCACTATATCCCCCCCTTCCCCTGCCCTGGGGAAACACCTGCATGTTAAAAGAAAATCCAGAGCAAGGCAAAATACAGATGGGGGAAGAGGCGGGGGCCCCAGTGTGGGGTGGCTGTGTGTGAGCAGTGCGTGTGTGCGGGGTGTGTGTGTGTGTGGGGGAGTGAGCGGCGTGCCAGGGCCACGGGCTCTGCTGATGGACTGAAGTGTGAAAGGAGGGGTAGCGAGGAGCTGGTTGTGAGATGGTGGTGGGACAGGAGGTTCTGGGAGGGCTTTCCCCCTCCCCGGCTCCCTGGCCGCACAGATGCAGAGATCTTTTAATTTTTGACATTTCCAAAAAGTGATTCCCTCCTTCTGCGAAATTCAAGCGAGACAAGAGATGATCTCACCCGTAATCTCCTCACCCTGCCATTCACCCATCAGAGAAAACACTGTGTTTATAGATATATAAAGATATATTTTTGAAAGCCTCTATTTTTCAGACTTGGTTTTCTCACTGCTAAGAAAAGAGATTATAATAATGTAATTTTATTTTAATCTGCTGCCTTGGAAACTGGTGCTTGGAACTCCTCTTTCTCTTTTTCTCCCCATACAAATGAAACAGATCTAAGCACCCCAGAGATGTTGCATAGAAGCCAACCCCAGAAGATACCTGCCAATAGCATCACACTTGCTTTGGGCCCTAAGCCTCTCCCGGCTTCCCCACTAATCCACTAGCTGAAAATTTAGACTGTATCCAAATCTCAAACACTAACAAAATCATCTGATGATTGTATTATTTTTTAACACACAGCTAATCACCTTCCAATGATGTAGCCGGGTGTTTATCAGCTCCCTTTAAAGGCACTTTTTTCCCTTTAACTCCTTTTTAAAAGAAGGTTTTAAGGTGTAACAACCCTTTCTGTCCCCGGGAGAGACCATCAGCAGCATTTAGGATTGCCCAGGTCCTGGAGCTGGTGGGGACCTAGTGTTGATATTTTTTCCTTATGAAAGGGACAGAAAATACTCTTTGGGGTTTTTTTCCTTTTTTTTTTTTAAGTGCAGTCATGCTATTTGAGATTCAAGCTTGCACGAGTTAAGTCCAGCATATGTTTCATTGTAATCACACTGCCGTTGTCAGCAGCCGGATGGTATCTCTCTCTCGCTCACACACACACACACACACACACACACACACAAACACACACATCCCTCCTTCCTACACAAAGAACTGCATATATTCTTGCCAAAGATATCCTTAAAAACGCACTTTTCCCCACATATATATAGATAGATATATATTATTTTTTTTTTGTGTGTGTGTAAATTTATTGTACGTGCCCTTTTTGTGTCAGTTTGTTCTTTGGAGAAGCCCGTCCTGCCTTTGCTGTCGATATTGCTGTCTATTGGGAAATGCTCCCCGGGGAAGTAATTTGCTGTCTGTCCTGCTCAGTGGCACCTGCAATGCACAAAATGTGGAGTTCCCATTCTATGAGGCTGCCTCTGGCTCTGCCCCTGGGAGCTCTTTTGGGAGATGATCCATGTCATCAGCTGGTGATGTGATGTACCATTGCATGGTCTTCACCAGCCCCTCATCACCGGTGGAGACAGCAGGGCTCATGGTTTTGAGCAGAGTTTGGGGTTGCTCTGAATGCAACATTTGCTGGCTGCCTCCTGGTCAAATTACACATGGAAAACAAACCAGGCAGGGAGAAAAACCCAACCCAGCCTCTGGGCATTGATTTTTTCCAGTGAATTCAACCGCCTGAACCAAAGTGCAAAGTAAATCCCCACCCAGCAGGTCGGGCAGGTAAAGAAACCAGTTGCCCCAAAAACCCCAGACAACAGCATCAACAAAAGGCAACCCTTCCCATTGGAGCAGGCAGGATGATCAGACAGCAAAGGAGCCCGCAGGGGCTTGTTTCATTTTGTTCGTTTGTTTTGCAAATTGCGAGGTTGGTTTGGGGTTACTATTTTTTTTTCTTTTCCTTAAAAAGGAAAAAAAAAAAGAAAGAAAAAAGGAAGCAATATGACGTTTCTGTTGGCGGATCCTGTGCCGCCGTGTTATGCGTGGGGTTTTTTGTTGTTGTTGTTGTTGTTGTCTTTGTTACTTTGGGAATGTTACAGATTTATTTGCTAATCAGTGTTAACAAACAGTTTCAAACTTTTAGACTCGCCCATTTCTGTGTATTTATATAGATGGAAAAAAAAATACATTATATTTTGTATCTTTATGCCCATAATGTTGTCGTGCGTGTAAGGATGGCTTCGGTCGCACCATGTCCGTGTGTGAATGTCACTCCGCTGTTGTCTTCCCATTGTACAGATGTCGGATTCTTTGCAGTTCATTGTATTGCTTTATAAAGTGGTAAAAACAACAACAAAAAAAAGAACCAGTTATATAAAATATACTGTTGCTTGGAATGCCAGCTTGGTGTTTGGATTGCTGGAAATGTATCCTGAAGTTTAAGGGAGCATAGGAATAAATGCTCTGGTGTTTCTGCACAGGGGAAAAACAACCCAAAACCCAAACCCATATGAAAGCTGGTGGGTGCTGTTTTCTCTGGGCTGTTGTTCCCCTGTTCCTCGATGGCAGACTGGGGCCCCCGGACAGACGCCGGGCGGTGGGTGTGGGAAGAAGGAGGGGCTGTGCTGCTGCTTGTCAGCCTCCAGCCGCAGCTTGTGTTCACCAGATGCTGGCTAACCAGACAGCCCCCAAACTTCCGACACGGCTCCAGCTCCAGCCTGGGCTTTTGTTTACCAGCAGGGATCTCTCCAGCTTGCCCTGCAGGCACTGGGTGCTCTGCAAGTCCTGTTGCTTTTTCCCAGGTTGCCTTTAGGTGCTGTCTGTCCAGCCTTGGGTAACCCTTTGGGGTCCATCTCCTGCAAGACTGCAAGAGAACAGGGTAGGATGATGCTTGTGTGGGGTCTTTGCCCTTGCCGAGCTGGCAGTTTGGGCTCTTCTCCCATTGAATCCCACTCCCTATGCCTTTCAGAGCCATCCTGCTCCCTTGTGCCTGGCAAAACTTCCCCCAAAGTCTCAGGCCAGGCTTTTCCAGCATTTGCGTAGCATTTCCCAGCATCTGTCAGAGCACTCAGCCCCTGGCTCTCTGGCTCCTCTCCTTCCTCTCCTTGCTGAGTTGGTGGCCAAGACCCAGCCCCCTGGATGGATTGAGTTTAATTATACAAGAAATGTCAGCCAGAGCAGCGGCAGTTTCTCTGGCGCCAGCACTGCTGTGGCTCAGAGGCTCAGAGTTTCTCCCGGGGGCCGGCAGCACTAAAAATACCTCCTGCCTTTCTCTAAAATAGCTGCAGGGCGAGGGGCGGATTGCGGGGACTGCTTCAGTGGGGACCCCGTGCTGTGGGGCTTGTGCCTGGAGGCAAAGGCAAGAGAGGTAAAAAAAGAAAGGGGCGGAGATGGAATGGTTTCTCTGAAATAGCCGTGGGGCTGTGGGTGGGCACCCCAGCCACCAAGTGCCCTCCAAGCCAGGCTCGTCACGGAACCTTTGAGGTACCTGGCATCCGCCAGCCTTGGCCTCAGTTGTCCCTCATCTACCTGCGGGCAAGACAGGACCTGCAGCCTCCTCGCCCTTTCTGACACTGCAGGGATGGTATTTTCTTTCTAGCTTCTCTTAGTTTTGTTTCTTCTCTGATTCCTACTGGAATCCCCAGGACCCAGCAGCAGCCGCTTTCCCATTCCTGCTGTTCCTGGCTGGCTGGGATGGCCACTGCAGAGTATCCCTGGGCAGGGAGGAGAGGCAGGGAGTGCCTGGCGAGGTGGCGCACACAGGCTATTTGTTGCAAGCCATAAACTGCTTCTCATTCCCCCCCCCCCCGCCTTTTCTGCAGTTAATTCCCCATTTCCTTTCCAAAATTCCTCCGGAACTTCTGGTTTGTGTTTTTCCTCAACATGTTCTTATCTGCCACTCATTTCCCCTCGCCAGCTCTGACAGCACAGGCTTTTCAGGGTCTCTCTCTCTGCACATTGCTGCTGTACCCAGGCCAGGCTTGTGGTTCTGGTGTGACCACAGGGAAAGGCAGGTCCCACCAGCTTCATGCTGGGAAACCTTGCCCCCGTTGCATCTCCCCTTGTCTATCGAGTGCTCACCTTCAGGTTCCTAAATCAGTAGTTTTTTTCTCGTTACAGCCCCAGCTCTGGGGACCTGGGGCCATACAGGGAGTGTTTCTTGTAGGGTTGTGAAAGGTGGCAAGGTTTCTCTCTCCTCTCTGCCTGCTGTTTCAAGAGAAAAGGGTGGGTATGGTGTCAGACAGTCAGGAAACCCTGGCTTGAGAAACTGTGGTGGTGGGTTTGCTCCCCTCTCCCCCCATTATTTTTGGTTGTCTAAGCTATAAGCAACCCTCAGATCTGGAGCAAAATTAGGGTCATGGTGGTGGGGATGGAGAGGGTTCATCTCCCTTCACTTCTTTTATTCTTTCCCAGGCTTCTCAGCAGTGCTGGGTATCCTTCAGAAGCGTCCTCAAGGGAAACAAGAAAGTATGATACAATATGGCTTTTCCTGAGTATCATGTCTGGGCAAAGGCCAGGAACCAGACAAATTCCACAGGATGGGAAGGGTGGAGCAGACCTGATGTGGGCAAAAGCCACCCTGGGGCTGGTGTTACCTGTGCTCATGCTATGCCCTTGGGAATAGAAGCGAGCTGCAAACCCTGCAGTGGTGTCCAGGATGCTGCTGCTGAGTTACTGCTTCCCTGGGTGGCTCAGCCAATCCAATGGGGACACTGAGACCGATTGATAGAAAGGCAAAGGGCCCCTTGCACAACTGTCTGGGGTTCCTCTGGCCACACAGACTGGGGCTGAGCAGCACCAGACCAGAATGAGGGCTGCCATCCAAACCAGCAGGGCCTGGAGAAGTCCATCATAAGAAAAGGAAGTAAGAAAAGACAGCCCAGAAATGACTCTGGGGGCATCATCATCATGCCAGGAGGATGTTACTGCTCAGAGAAGGGCATGAACATGCAGCCTGTGGTGCAGGAATTACCCACTCTCTGTGGCTGTGGCGTACAGGAAAAGACAACAGAAAGGAATTCGGGTTAAATATGGAAGAAAGAGGGACAATGTGACGCTCAGGAATGGTTGATCTGGAGAGGGAGGGAAGACAAAACCCTGGATGTGTTGGAGGGAGGGAGGGAGAGGGAGGAGAGGGGCTGGGCTAGTCTGTCTTCAGAGCACAGCGATTGGAGAAGGGTGATGGGTAGGACGGCGCTGTCCTTCTGCTTTGTGAGGTTCTGGCTCCATCTACAGGGATGTGTCTCCAAGTGATGGAGCCTTGGAGTGCTGCATGCCCAAAGCCGGGCAGGAGGTGATATCTCCTTGCCTGCAGCCAGCTTCTTCTGTGGCTCCTCTCCTGAGCACACATCTGAATTGAGCTCCTGCTGCTCTGCTCTTATCTCACTGTACGAACCCAGGGCACGTGGGGTTTTTTTGTAGAGGTGAGGTAAGGAGATGTCCTGAGCTGGAGAGATGCTCA